AATTTTAAATAATTTTAAATGTCTTACTGTGTTGTGTTCTTAAAAATTTGAAAAAATAAAAATTAAAACATCTCCTTGTGTCCATCCGCATAAATAATTTCTCTTTGCATACAATCCTATATTTAGGTGTGGTCGCAATTTCGGAAAGCAATTAAAAATACACGGCTCATATTTAAAATCCACAATCAAATCTAGCCTTGAAAACAGCTATGTCATCACCATAAGCGTAATCTCAGATGAATCATGCGTTCGATATCGGTAGGAATAAATAAATATGAAACATTTTGCAATTCTGAAATGCGATTTACATATCGATAGAAAAAACAATACTTTCGTTATCGTCCAACAAAGGGAAGATATTTTTAATTGTTTCTTTAGATCGGAGGAGTAGTCAGTCATATTTAAAAAGCTTGTGCAAAGATAGCTTATGGATATCTTGAAAACTAGTTCAGAGGGGGCCAGTTAGTTTCTCACACGTACCCAGGATTAATACGGATTCGGCGTTGGTAATGTTACTAAAAACATTATATAATCATAGCCAGGAAAGCAATTTCTTTTAAAGCCTGCTCTTACACTCCGATGAGTTTTTGCGATGTCCTTTCTTTCTCTTGTTTTAAACATACATTGTTCCAAACCTCTGATCACTCCTCTGCAGAGGATAATGCAATATCTTTAAGCAGTTTGGTAGAACCACTACCGCGATCAATCATTGCATAGCGGAGTACATCTTTATAGCTTTCTGTCCACCATAGCAGAAGATGTCTGCTTGTTTACACATCGCGACTTTTTATAAGATTTCGCGATCGGGTTCACCTTTTCCCGCTGATTGTGTTGTCTCCTTCCCTAGGGCTCATGGGACAGTATCTTAAGCGTTGTGTTTGTCTTCGTCTCCTTTGCGTAGTACTTGACTTGATTACATTGAAATGGGTAACACAGTTCAGAATATGTGATCCTCTTCGTAGTTTCCATCAAATTATAGGGTAGTTTATGGACTTCTCAGGAACAATCGGTTCATGGTAATCTTATGTTTGGATTCCCTAACTAGCTAAGAATTACAATAGTTCCAATCAGATAATTATAAAGACACCCAAAGGCAGCGAAGTATGTCCATCAGTTTCCCCTTGACACGTGTCTGCTAGTAAGGAGTCTGCCAGCTTTCTTCAAAATAAATGTTCCTTCTCTACTTAAAAATGTGTCTAGTTATGCCCTCAGTCATATAGAGAGGGACATATGGCTATAGATACGACCAACATAATCGAAATAATGGTTTTAGACCCTAGGACTCTTTGGACCAAATCCGTTTCAGGACTTTTGAAGTCTGTCTGGCGCTAGAGAGGGCCATATGGCTAGAGATACGGCCAAAATCATCGAAATAATGGTTTTAGACCCTAGGACTCTTTGGAACAAATCCATTTCAGGACTTTTGAAGTCTGTCTGGTGCGCATGATAAAGAAGGAAGTATCCACTTTGGTCCAAACTTGGTACATCGTAATATTATAATCAAACTTAGATCGAGTTCGGAGATGGACAATATCGGTCCAATCCCTCTGGTACCTCCACCACAAAAGGGTCAACATTTTCAAAAAAATATTATACTGCACAGAAAGAGAAAGGATACTCCGATTTTGCAAATCCTAATATTTTCATCAGTGCTAGGTCAGGTGCGAAATGGACAATATCGGTCCAGTCCATCAAGTACCTTCCCACAAAGGGTCAAAATTGTGAAGAATTATAACTTATAAAATGTACATCACATTTTATAAGTTATAATTCGAGATATGTTATAAAAATGGTCGGATCGGAACATTTCTTCTAGGTTTCTAGGATTCAAGGTTTTGAAAAACAAAACGCTCAAAGAAAGCAAAATACGCATCCAACTCTTTTCAAATTTCACACATACAAACATTTTTTTCTAACACAAGATCTGTTATTAATTTTTTTTTGGCATTGATACTTTTTAATCCACCCGTATATATAGTAAGGGAATTCGTAGCGTTTGAAACTGGGTACAAAATTTTCCTCCAAACATAAAATTATTGAAATGTATAAGATGGTCTGCATTGTCGTTTTATTTCAATGCAATTCAATGAATGTTTTAATTAGTACTAATTTCAGAGCGACGGATCATAACATTGCCTAGATGGCTGTATGATATCTATGTCGCTTGTTAGAAGCAAAAACAAACACACCCGCAATTGTGAAACAACTAATGTCTATTGACTATGTTTAACCAATAGAAAACCCGTAACCTTGCATCAACCCTCGCTTTCATCAGATTTGTAAAACGCACGCGGGTATTATCAGCTACTACTGAACAAGATATAGAATCGTCGGGAACATATATAAATCAAATAATCCAAGTTTAAGAATTAGTTACCGATCATATATTTCTTCGGAGTGGTTTTCTCTTTATAACTGTCTCATAGTAAACGTAAACTTGTTACAAAGAAAAGTGACATAAAAGAGTCAGAAGTGAAACCGAACCATAGTACTATTAATTCAAGGTAACGCCCTTTTAAATATATAGATCGAGCTCTGTATCCCTGTAAATTAACTTGTCAAATTTAAATTGATTTAAAAATCTAATTTGTCTAAATACGGGGTGAGATAAAAACAAGTTAAAAAGCAACAAGTTCGGCCGGGCCGAACTTTGAATACCCTCCACCATTTGGAACGAATTTGGAAGTTTTCAAAAAATAAAATCCATAAAAAAATCTGTTACAATTTTAAAAATACCGAAGATAGTAATTATTTTGGGTTGTATACGACGTGGACCTACATAGGCATTGTTTGTCATAAGCCATTGCTATATTCAAATTCGAAACTTGAAATAAACGGTCAATAATGTAGCTAAAATCATCAAAAAATTGTATATAGGGAGGTACCGTTATATCGGAGCTGTGCGTTGACCTGGACCAGCATTGACAATTTTCTGTCACAGGCTGTAGCATCCCTTACGAATTTTAAATACAACATCTCAAACAATTTCGGTGAGTATTGTACCTAAAATCGTCAAAATACCGAATATAGGGAGGTACTGATATATGGGCCCTATACGAAGACCTGGACCTGCATAGACAAGTTTCTGTCACAGACTGTAGTTCCCATTACGAACTCTAAATACGTAATTTGAAATTACTCCGGTGAATAATGACGCTAAAATCATCAAAATACCGAATATTGGCAGGTACCGCTATGTGGGGGCTATACGAAGGCGTGGACCCACGTTGTCAATTTTCTGTCTTAGGCTGTAGTATCCATTTCGAACTTCAAATACTAAATTTGAAACAATTCCGTTGAATAATATCGCTATAATCATCAAAATACCGAATATCGGGAGGTACCGTTATATGGGGGCTATATGAATACGTGGACCTACATGGGCCATTTACGAACTTAAACTGCCTACTGGAAAAATAAACACGTGTGCAAACTTTTAGCCTTCTATCTCAATTCGTTCGAAAGATAGCGTGATTACAACAGACACACGGACAGACAGACGGACATGGCTAAATCGACTTAGAATTTTACGCTGATCAAGAATATATATACTTTGTTGGGTCTGACATGAGTATTTCGAGGAGTTACAAACGGAATGACAATGTTAATATACCCTCCATAGTATGGCCATAATATTTACTTTTTTTAAATTTTATTGAATGAAAGCTAAAAATGTCGGAATTAGCATCAAATTTTAGAATAAGTTTAGATTTGTTCGAATTGGCCACCTTTGACACGAATTATGGGCTTCAAACGGCCTATGGAACCGTCACACGCTGCCCGAATGTTGCTCTGCGGTATTTTGGCCCATTCCCGGCGAAGCGTTTGCTTGTGGTGATCGACACTTTGGTATTTTTTAGTGCCAAGCTTGCTTTCCAAAATACTCCAGACACAATATTCCAACGGATTGGAAAACAACAAATGTTTTCTCATCGGAGCAAACCCAATTGGGCAGTTCACCATTTTCGGCCAAGCGAAGCAACTTTTTAGCTCTTTTGAGTCTATTTTATTTCTGTTGCGGTGTAAGTTCTTGCACTTTTTGGAATAACGGCTTTATCCTGAACTCATTTTTCAATATATGCCGAATGGAATATTGCGATATGTTCAGCTCACGAGCCATTTTTCGGCCACTGCGACGCGGGTCGATCGATCATGTTGCTTCTTTACTTTCCGAACCATTTCTGCTGATGTTGCTGTTTTCTTCCGTCCACTTCCGTGACCAGTATCACGGTAACGAGCGATAGTACGAGACACAAAAGATTTATTCACATTTATATGCTGGAGTGCTCTAACGATAGACACTTGTGGTTTTCCAGCCAAATATAAAGAAATCACACTATCACGCTTGAGTTCCATTACGAATAACTTTTTTCTGGAAAATTCTCACCAAAATGCTTTTCTACGCTTGTAAAATATAAAAACTGTTACTGGAATAATTTTAACAGCTGTCAGACAAGTGGCTTAGAAATGACAAAGATGATAAAGATGGTTGCAGTTTTTTCATCTCACCCTGTACAACTATTCCAAAAAGCTGGACATGCATTGAACATTTGTTCGAGAAAATGTTTTCTTCCAATTAAGATTTAAAAACATGTGAAATTGCCATACAACAGGACCTTCAAAACACCTAAAATCGGTCTCAGGAATTTTATGTGTCATTGGCCGTTTGAAGGCCATAATTCGCGCCAAAGGTGACCAATTCGAACAAATCTAAACTTATTCTAAAATTTGATTTTTGCTTTCATTCACTAAAATTAAGAAAAATGTCAAAATTATGGCGTTGGACTTTGTTGCAGTTTTGCACTTCCAACCAATTTGGTTATTTTGAGATTATAAAGTGTAAAAGACTATATTGCAAACATGTTCAGTATTTCAATGGTTTTAGGAAATCTGTCATATTCCAATTTTTACAAAGCTTTAAACCCCATTAAACCTTTTATTAATTTTTATTTAAATTTTCATATAATTTCTTATTTAATATTTCTATTTTATGTTTTCAGATGCCTGGTCTTGTCGTTTTTCGAAGGCGTTGGTCAGTTGGCTCTGATGATTTGGTGGTGCCTGGTGCATTCCTCCTAACTATTCATCTAATTTGGTAAGTCAGCCCAGACTAAAATATTCTCTTGACAACAACAAGGTTAACGAGTAACGTTTTTTTTCTCTCTCTCTCTCTCCCTCTTCTAGTTTAATTACTGTTATTGCGTCGCTCTGCACTTTTGAATATGACACCAGCATTTTCGATGTCAAGCTACTTTTTTATCATCAAATAGGCTATGCAATTATTTTAGGTGGTAAGTATTTGAGAGAATTTAGAAAATAAATATTCATATGCACATTCTAAGTTTGGATAAATTCATTGTAAAATTATTTCAATATGGCCTCGTTTCAAATAAGGGTTTCAATCCTGGAATTTTCAGTAATTAAGTAAACATTGAAAACATCTCTGATTTAGAGATATTCAATGGATTTATGAATATACATTTCGACAATGATATTCTGTCAAAGGTGCAATTTTGAAAACAAAATTGTAAACATATTATTTTACACCGGATTATCTTGATAATTCCACCATTTACCTTCTTTCAAGCTTTATAATCCAAGCGAAAGTAAAAATAATTAAAACTAGATAATTTACTTTACGACTACCGACTGTAATTATTTTTGTACTTTAACTGAAGTACAATGCATGTGACTAGCCACGATTTGAAGTTGGCAACAACATAATTGCGATTAGAAAGCATATTTGCAAACAAACAAAAAAAAAAAAAAAACGCACTACTTCAACTTTCTTCATTCGCTTTGCTTTTCAGGGCGTGATAACACGCTACGCAACAACATAATTGCGATTAGAAAGCATATTTGCAAACAAACAAAAAAAAAAAAAAAACGCACTACTTCAACTTTCTTCATTCGCTTTGCTTTTCAGGGCGTGATAACACGCTACGCCCCGTATCTCATAAATCAACCTACCTACCCCATTCCCGCTATTTATTTTTAACACTCTAAAGTGTTTGTATTTTGATTTCTGTTGTCCAAATATTTCACTTTTATTTAGAATGGCCAAGAAACAAAACAAAGTGAGATTTTTATGATAAGCGAATAAATGTTTGTATTTAATGGCAATTCTGGTAGTTTCGGTCTATTTCATTTTGTAAAATTTAATGTTTCGTATCTCATGGATACTGTATTTTTTTTTGATAATACTATAAAACACATCACTCATGTGAGTTAATTGTTTTGTTTGCTTTTTCTGCAATTATAAAGCAGGTATTTTTTCTTTCTTTTTCGAAAATTAAGTGCTCAAAACTTTAATGATTGCACGTTCTTGTTAATTCATAATCCATAAAACACACACACATTCATGTTTATTTTGGATGAGTAGCTTTTTTTTGCTTTGTTTGGGATGCTGTTATCAGTAGCTAGTGTAAATAGTATCATCGTCATCTTTAAGTCAAATTCTCAAAACAGATTCCGTGAATGGCAAATCGAAAAAAACGTTTATTTTTAAGGTTGGCAGAGGTCAAAAATCTGACATCATAAAAATAAGTCATTTGCTTCTGTTGCGTTACGTTTCGATTCCGACTTAATTGTCAAGCACAGTATTTTGAAAACGATTTTTTGGAAAAAAGTTTGGGTAATGTTTTTGAAAGACTACAAAGGCTTGGTAATTGGGAATTTTAGTGCTCACAACGATTTTTGGTATTCCTTTCTAGGCAATGACCCGATGCAATCAGTGCTGGCAGAATTTGGCAATTGCAGGTTATGACTGTGTATGTTTCCACTCGAATAAGGGGAAAGTGCAATGATTCCCCAAACATAATTATCTTAATTTCCTCCATTAAGCCTTCTGGGGTAACCAAAAAATGTATTTCGAAACCATTTCGGAGGCCCTCTAAGAGAATATTCAAAAAATTTCAGAAAAAGATCCACTTCGAAAAAAAAAACCGTATATCAGCAGAAAGTCAATGCTTTAAGAAGATAACCCTCTCTTCCATTTTTTTTATGAAATATTCATATTGACATTTCTTGGAATCCTTACGTTTTAGGTATATAGTGTCCTCGGCAACATTGTTGATAACAATACGAATATTATTATACCCTCAGCCATATGCCTACAGAGGATTATATCATATGATATGCGAGGATACCCTGGGTCTCTTTGAACCAAATCAGTTTCAAGACATTTGGAGTCGATCTAGTGATGTCCGTCCGTCCCTCTGTCTGGCTGGCTTGTGCGCATGATAACTCCCGATGAGACTATCCGATTTGATTCAAATTTGGTACATCGTAATATTATTGTCAAACTTAGATCGAGTTCGGAGATGGGCAATATCGGTCCACTCCTTCTGGTACCTACCCCACAATATGACATTTTCAAAGAAAATAATTTACTACACAGAAAGAGAAAGGATGGTCCGATTTTGCTCCAACTTTGCATATCCTAATATTTGCATCAGTGCTAGGTCAGGTACTTCATCAAATACCTCCCCCACAAACGGTCAAAATTTGGAATAATTTTAAACCTTATAAATTAAGATGTAAGAGCCCGATTGTCTTCAAATTACACACATCACAAAATTTTTATTAATTCAAGGTCTGGTATGAAGATGAAATATATCGGTCTACTCCTTCTGGCACCTCCCCCACAAAGGGTCAAAATTTTAAATATCCATTAAGCTCATAAAACACGAATTAACATCCGATTCCATTTAGGTCCCAATAATACATCCCAATATTTCTATTAATATGATATTTGTTATAAAGATGGTAGAGATCAGACCCATTCCTTCTGACAAAGGGTTGAAATTTTGAATAACCAAAACGATCAAAAAATCCGGAATAAGCATCCGATTCTCTTCAAATTGCACACTTCATAATCTTTTTATTAATCAAAGTTGTGGCGTAAAGATGGACTATATTGGTCCTCTCCTTCTGGTACCTCCCCCACAAAGGGTCAAAATTTTGAATATTCATGAAGCTCATAAAACACGAAATTAACTACTTCTTTCATTCAGACTTGGCACATCTCAATATTTCCATCAACACAAGATTTGTTATAAAGATGGTAGAGATCGGACTATTCCTTCTGATACCTCCCCCCCAAAGTATTAAAATTTTGAAGATCCAAAACGATCATAAAATAACAATCAAACTTGATCCATCTCAATATTTCCGTTAACACAAGATCTGTTATAAAGATGGTAGAGATGTCACTATACCTTCTGGTACCTCCCCCACATAGGTTTCAAGATTTTGGAAAACAAAACGCTCAGATACCTCCCCCACTCTCCTTCGGATACCTCCTCCAAAAATATATGGACAGAGGGACGGACATGCATAAATCGACTCAGAATGTGATTCCATGCAGATCATTAAAGGAAACTGTGGGTCTAACTCGACTCTTTCTCTGTTATAAAAAAAATCACAAAGACATAATACCCTGACCACATTGTGGTGTAGGGCATAATTACTTTTCGACTCGATTTTACTCTTGGAGAAAACTCATACTCTATTTTGAGCAATTTGAGTATCCATCTATTATATATAACAAAAGAGTATAGGGTAAACTTCTTAGATAATTCGTAATCTTCGTCTCACGAGTAAAATTGATCAAATTGGAGCTCTCAATTTGTATGATTTGAGTTAGGGTCTTGAAAAAAACAATAAAAGTTAGGGTCTGAAGAAGCAAAAACAAAAAAAGTGGAACACTTATATTTGATGGGACACACTCCTTGTTGATCGCTAAGAATGAAAATAAATTAAAACAAACCGGATTATGAAGAAATCGCTACTGTGTTTCCATAGAAAAGAAAATATGAAATTTTTGATGACCTACTTTCCAACATATCAATTGAACGAGTTTCAAAGAAAAATGTAAAAACATGATGGCTATTCTTACTAACCAATCGATTGTAAAAAAAAGATACCTTAATCTATTGAACATTGAATTTAAATCTGCTACGAATTTATCAAATCATTCTGAAAGTTGTTCAAATTTCAATTCAATACCTTGGAATTTGCATCTGGCTGTCATATGTCGTAGCTATTAAAGCCTATAATTACTTCGTACATAAACAAGCCGTACACATGTATGTGTGTGAAAATGTTCCATATCCATTGATTTATTTTTCTTTTATCAATTTTGTTTCTAATTGTTTTTTTCGTTCGTCATTTTTCTTGCAGCCTCATTGGCCATAGAAATTGGAATATGTATTATATCGATGCGCGGTAGTATATTGGACTCTGAGGTCCGGGCGCCAATAAATTTGTGGATTTATTTAAAGACTGGTGAGTCAGAGTAAACAATAGTAAATAAATAAAACACAACAAAATATATCTTCATACATACATACATACATCATATTTGCATACAAATAACAAACATACATACATATGTTTATACACATTAGAAAATGGAGGTGAAAACAGATGACAATTTTTTTCACACTGCTCGCTGACCAATGCAAAAAAGAAAAAAAATGAATATAATTTAATTTTCTTAAAAAAAAAAACACACCTAATAATGCCCTGGGAGAAAAAAGCTATATTAAAATAACATGAGCAACATGGAACGAGATTTAAAAAATTATGAGTTTTAAAAATAGCAAATTAAAAATATTAAAAAAAGTAAAAAAGAAGCTAAGTTCGGCTGGGCCTAGTTTGTAATACCCTCCACCATTTTGAAGAAACTTGAAAAATGTCTAAAAACGAAAACGGGAAAACGTTACATGGGGACTATACGAAGACGTGGTTCTGTATAAGTATTATTTTGTCATAAGATGTAGTACTAATTACGAACGTTACATACGAAATTTGAAACAATTGCGGTGAATAATGTCGCTAAAATGATTCAACCACCGAATTAAAGGAGGTGCCGTTATATGTGGCCATTATGACGTGGACCTATAAAGACAAGTATCTTCCGGGCGGTAAAGTACTCAGAAGGAGCTCCTTATCTGGATTTTCAAACAATTGCATTGAAAAAACTGCAACGAAATCAAACGCCATAATTTTTACATTTTTTTTTTTAATTTTATTGAATGAAAGCAAAAATGTCGGAAATAGCATCAAATTTTAGAATAAGTTTGTTGGCACAAATTATGGCCTTCAAACAGCCAATGAAACCGTCACAAGCTGCCCGAATGTTGCTCTGCGGTATTTTGGTCCCTTCCCGACGAAGCGCTTGCTTGAGGAAATCGACACTTTGGTATTTTTTAGTGCCAACCTTGCATTCCAAAATACTCCAGACACAATAGTCCAACGGATTGGTATCCGGAGATTTTGGTGGCCATTGAGTGCTGGAAATGAAGCGAGGAATCGCATTTTGTAACCATTCTTGGGTGGCGCGTCCTGAGTGCGATGGTGCTGAGTCCTGTTGGAATGTCCAAGGTCTGCGGCCAAAAATGTTTGCGTCCCCAAGGCTTTTATACACCCTCCAGAATATTTTCGCGGTAATATTCGGCATTTATTCTGATGTCACGGTCGATTAATACGAGCGGAGAGCGACCATCGTCTGTTATGGCGACCCACACCATCACCATGGCCGGCGCTTGAGTTCTGTTGGCCAACCGAAGGTGCACATTTTCAGCTGACCTCTTTGGCAAGTAAACACGATCATTTTGTTTGTTTACAAACTGCTGGGCAACGAATGTTTTCTCATCGGAGAAAACCAAATTCGGCAGTTCGCCACTGTCGGTTAAGCGAAGCAACTCCTTAGTTCTTTTGAGTCTATTTTCTTTCTGTTGCGGTGTAAGTTTTTGCACTTTTTGGAATTTTAATGGCTTTACCCCAGCTCATTTTTCAATAATTGCCGAATGGAATATTGCTATATGTTCAGCTCACGAGCCATTTTTCGGTCACTACGACGCGGGTTTCGATCAAGTCGCTTCTTTACATTTCGAACCATTTCTGCTGATGTTGCTGTTTTCTTCCATACACTTTCTTGACGTCGGGCTACGCTACGACTATCACGGAACGAGCGATGGTACGAGACACAAAAGATTTATTCACATTTAAATGCTGGAGTGTTCTAACGGTAGCCACTTGTGGTTTTCCAGCCAAATATAAAGAAATCCCACTATCACGCTTGAATTCCATAACTTTTTTCTGGAAAATGCTCATCAAAATGCTTTTATACGCTTGTAAACAATATAATGAGCTGTCACTGGTATAATTTTAACAGCTGCCGGACGAGTGACTTAGAAATGACAGCAGTCTGAAGTTGGTCGCAGTTTTTTTTTTTTCAATTCACCCTGTATACCCTCCATAGAATGGTGGAGGGAATAAAAAGCTAAAAAGTCGACTTCGAAAGTTTAGTTTTTTTTATCATTCCTTATAAATATGTATGTATAGTTGTGTGTAGATATGTTCCCGCCAATTTTTCGTACATACATTTTTTCTATAACAAGATTATTTTCTAATATCGTTTTTTTATCTCCTTGATTTCCCCAGCTGTAATGCTATTTGATATCTCTTGGTTAATCCTGGGTTCAATATGGCTATCCAAGTATTATTTGGATTCTCCGGTTACTACACCAAAACAAATATTCTTTGGTAAGACAAAATTAATATTTTAAAATGTTTTACAATTTAATATATTTCTACATTCTTTTTACAGCAATTGTGATCTCAAGCTGGGCTTTAGTTTTTATAACTGGAATAACAGTTTGGTGTACCTTCGATACGGCCGGACGATCTTGGGTCAAAATGAAGAAATATCAACGATCGATGCGTGAAACAGAATCTCGTTTTAATTACAAGCGCAGCAACAGCATGAATCGCAATTGGCGCCAAAGGTAAGTCGGCAGGTGGGATTGCAGCAAGTCGAATTCACTTATTCGCGTTAAGTGTAAACCTGTCAGATGTAGATCAATGTTCTCATGCATCTTCCACACAATATTTTTCCATGGTAAATGTCCATGAAAGTTGACCCGCCCAAATTGGAATTCCATTTACATGTGAAATACTGTGAATTATGATGCTAGTGATAATTAAGTATTTACATTCCAGTTTATCGCTGAATATTGCTTACATACCCTCGATAGCACGAGTGCAGAGAAAATAAATAGGCAATGAATGTTTTTTTTTTTTGGAAAACAAAAATCGCATCAATTGAACACTCAAAAAGTGTTAAACAATATTCTTTCTGAAAAAAAAATTAAAAAATGCAAAGCGGAAACAATTTTCGGAATTCAAATACTTTAAGTTCCATTTAACGATCGTAATAATCGGTCAATGTCACATCTGATAATCCGATTGTTTATACCGTCCACCATACATATGGAGGGTATATTAAGTTCGTCATTCCGTTTGTAACTCATCGAAATAATAATTTTATACGTAACAAAGTATATATATTCTTGATCAGATTAAAATTCTAAGACGATTTATCCCTGTCCGTCTGTCGCTCTGTCTGTTGTAAGATGGGCTACATTGGTCTACGATATCGTATAGTCCCAATATAACTGTACCCCCCGATATGCGGTATTTTGGTGGTTGTAGCCAATCAATTTTTCAATGAAATTGTATCAAAATCCACGAAAGGAGCTTCTTCTGAGCATTTTACCCCCGGGAAGAATATTGTCTTTATAGGTCCACAATATCGTATATCCCCTATATAACGGTTCCTCACTATATTCGGTATTTTGATGATTTTTGCTACATTTTTCAATGGAATTGTATAAAAATCCATACTAAAAGTTCTTTCTAAGCAATTCACCCCTTGAAAGAGAAATGTCTTTATAGGTCCCATGTTCGACATTTGAACGATTTTACAGACATTATTCACCGGAGTTGTTTCAAATTTCTTATTTAGAATTCGTAACGGGTATTACAGCCTATGACAACAAAATTGCGTATACAGGCCCACAACTTCGTATATCCTACATATAACGGTACCTTCTAATATTCGGTATTTTGATGATTTTAGCGACATTATTCACCGGAGTTGTTTCAAATTTCGTATTTAGAGTTCGTAATGGGAAAGTCTACGCTAGAAAATTATCTATGCAGGTCCAGGTCTTCGTATAGGCCCCATATATCAGTACCTCCCCATATTCGGTATTTTATCGATTTAAGGTACAATATTCACAAACATTTTTTGAAATTTCGTATTTGAAGTTCCTTATAGGCACTACAGACTGTGACAGAAAATTGTCTATGCAGGTCTAGGTCTTCGTATAACCCCGATATAACGGTACCTCCCAATATTCGGTATTTTGCTGATTTAAGCTACTTTATTTAACTGATTTTTTCAAGTTTCGTATTTGAATATCTTATGACAAAAATTGTCTATACGGGTCCTCGTCTTCGTATAGACACCAATATAAAGACTACATTAAGTATTTTTAAGATTTTAATAAATTTTTTTACGGATTTTATTTTTTTTTTCGAACTTACTGCTTTTTTACTTGTATATTTATATTTTATTCAAATTATAAAAACTTTCCAGTTTGAAATAAACAATTAGCATGCAAAACAATGCTTTAGGGAAATCTGTGAAAAATCAATAAGCCAACAGATGATATTGACGTCAAATTTTTACAGTTCTTTCTGTCACAGTATAAGGTCAACGAAAGTCGTAGTCGATTTCGAACAGCAATCTGTGCCGTTCCCCTAAGTGTCTTAAATCAACACAATAAATACTTTTCGAACATTTCTACAATATGTCGTCATCGAAAACTTTATACTGCATTTAAAATCATTTAAAATCTTGTTTCGTTTCTCTTTGCAGAAAAGTGATACGAGCATATCAAGACAGTTGGGACCAACGGTGTCGCCTGCTATTCTGTTGTATGGGTTCCTCAGAACAGACTCGCAACTCTTTTACCGACATAGCTAGGCTATTGAGTGATTTCTTCAGGGAACTGGATGTTGTGCCATCGGATGTGGTGGCCGGATTAGTATTATTGCGTAAATTTCAGCGTCTCGAAAGAGAGGCCATAGTGCGACAGGTGAGTCGAAATACTAACAATTTTCCCAACAACATTAATATTCATAATAATCACTCTTCTTATTTCCTTTCAGAGAAAAAATGGTACCTATGAATTTCTAAGCGGTGTGCCCATAACTGAGCGCACACAATTTCTTGCCTTGAATGATGCCAAAAACTATGACTTCTTTCAAACGGTCATACATTATATGTACTTTGCTCAAGGTGCCTATGGCTGGCCCATGTATTTTATAATTAATCGAGCAAAAATCTGTCAGTTGGTGCCGGAACTGAAGTAAGTTTTTATTATAAGAGTTTAATTAAAGCTTTTACTTGACATTCCACCCTCTTCTTTATTTCAGATGCTTTGGCTGTTGTACGGGCGGTGCTGGTGCCGCCGCCACCGAGCCTGAGGTTATTCAGGACAATTGTTGTTATTGTAACTATGCTGCCCTCAAAAAGACTCTACAAGTGGGAGACATTGAAATTGTTTATGTCACATATCACGTGGACGTGGGCGAGACCCCATTTTTCGTGGCCATCGATTATACACAAAAGAAAATCGTAGTTAGCATACGTGGCACGCTGAGCATGAAAGATATTCTCACCGATTTGAATGCCGAGGCAGAGGTGTTGCCACTCAATCCACCACGTGATGATTGGTTGGGCCACAAGGGTATGGTCCAGGCTGCGGTTTATATTAAAAATAAACTTCAGGAAGAGAATATCATTGAGAAGGCCCTGAATAAGAATCCCGAGAGAAATACCAATAGTTTTGGTCTAGTAATTGTGGGTCACTCACTAGGAGCTGGAGCTGCTTCAATATTGGCGATACTCATGAAGCCAGACTATCCATCGGTGCAGTGTTTTGGTTACGCTCCACCCGGAGGGCTTTTGAGGTAAATATTACGGATATTCGTGGTATCCTATAACAATCCAACTACTTCTTATCTAGTATTTAATAGGAACTATTTGATGAGCCGTTTTGTCAATAGGTGATAGCATCGTGGAGTAGGAAATAAAAAAAAGTTAAAAAGAAATGGAACAGTGTGGCTTGTTTGTTCGGGATACCGTAGTATTTTGTTGTTGCAAAATGGTCAGGCTTACCCCTATATTGTTGTTTTTATAAAAACAACGTTTGTTTATTAGTGGAGAACGATGGTAATGTTTACCAGGGGGTAAGGCAGGGAATACCTAGGTTTCGGAAAGAGCCACCAATCCTCATCAGTTCCCTTGTTTTTGTCTGGGATATTCTCCCCAGAAGTTATTTTAAAAATAACTTCTATGACAAAAAACACATTTTACCCAAGTGACAAGATCGTAAGCTCAATAGAAGAGGAACCAAAGAATTATATAAAACTAAAATTCTTTTGGAAAGTCTTCTAAATCTTACAACCTGACCATTTTGCAACAACAAAATACTACGGTATCCCGAACAAACAAGCCACACTGTTCTATTTATAGACAAGGCACTGTCGACGAAGGGGTTTTTGTTGTAACAGACAAAACCAACTTACATGGTTATGCTACTTCGTTCAGGTTGAACGAAAGCATAACAAGTGGAGAATGATGAAAATGTTTATAAGTGCGGTTGTAAGATTTAGAAGACTTTCCAAAAGAATTTTAGTTTTATATAATTCTTTGGTTCCTCTTCTATTGAGCTTACGATCTTGTCACTTGGGTAAAATGTGTTTTTTGTCATAGAAGTTATTTTTAAAATAACTTCTGGGGAGAATATCCCAGACAAAAACAAGGGAACTGATGAGGATTGGTGGCTCTTTCCGAAACCTAGGTATTCCCTGCCTTACCCCCTGGTAAACATTACCATCGTTCTCCACTAATAAACAAACGTTGTTTTTATAAAAACAACAATAAAAATAAATATAAAAATAAATTAGGTATCCCAACAATAGGTGCCAACACTGTTTTATTAAATGTTGCATATTTTTAGGTGTGAAAACGTCACAATCCCTAATCGCAAAATACATTATAAAAACGACAAAGGTTCTGGTATGGTTGTCGGTAATATTTCCAAAGACACTATATACTTAAAATGTTAAGATTTTAAGGAATTTTAATTCAAGGAATATGACGGAGTTTGCCCCCTCTATTTATGTTACTAAGCTGTATATATCTAGGCATTATTTTGTTGTGTGCTTCTAGATGCAAACACATACATTTTCTGTTTTTATGTACTAAATATTAATTTCTGTTTCTTTTTTTGTAGTATGCCAGCCGTTGAATACTCCAAATCGTTTATAACCTCTGTGGTGTTGGGCAAAGATGTTGTGCCCCGCATAGGTTTATATCAAATGGAAGCCCTAAGGGCCGATCTCATAAATGCTATACAACGCAGCATAGATCCAAAGGTAAGAATAGCCTTTACATTCAACCAAAAATAATAATAAATAATAACAAAAAATAAACTCTCTTTTTAACTCCCCAGTGGAAAACAATATCATGTTCAATTATTTGCTGTGGCTGTGGACCCGAACCAAAATCGGTATTGGAAATGTCTGGCAAAGATACCCACATAAATAAATATCAGGAGGAGCGTGGCACAGCTCGTTCGACGAGCACCCATCCGACAGATAGTTCAATAGCTTTAACTTTACACCAACCCCTCTATCCACCGGGGCGTATTATACACGTTGTCCGGCACCACCCGAAGGCCGATGAGTAAGTATAGAAATGTCCATTTGGTGTTAATCTTTCGTTTCAATTTTTCTTTTTTTATTGTAATTCAATTGTGACAATTTTAAATAATATTAATTTAATGCTTTTCATTGCTATTTATTTGCTTATTTCCAATGCCAATTCCAATAAATATGCAAATAATTTAATTACAGGAAAAAATATGACAGAGGTTGGAGGTAGGAAAGAGACGGTTTTGCCCTCTAGAAAATATAAAAAGGATATCTCAGAGTAGTGTTTTTGTGCATGCCTTTTCTTTTTCTTCTTAAAAAAAAAGACAAAAAATATGTTGTTTATAATCTGCATGTTAATGTTTTGTGTTTATATGTTTGTATTAAGAGACAAAGATTTAAAAAAATATGAATCCATTCAAGGTCTCACATGTAACATTTATTATATAACTAACATGTATAGAATAATGATATCAACATCAAATGGAAGAACATTTCCATTCACTGTCGTTGTGAGGAAACATTTTTTGGGCAAACTGTATATATAAGAATATTTTTTGTACTATTCATAAAATGGATTTGTATAGGGTTGCATGTTTTTGGAAATAGATTCGTTTTACACCATTTGGGATTTTAAATATGTGGGTGTTCATTTTGTTTGTAGGAATCTTTAAATTTCTTTCTTATTTTGTTATTTTCCCAAAATAATTTTTACATAGAGAATACTTGAGTTTAAATAGCTGATTGACTCCAAGAGCGCTTCATCTTAAAAAAAACAGTTTCGGTAAAAAAATCGATTAAAATGTGATTTCCCGAATTGAAAAGATAATTTCACAAATAGAAATATAACTATATAGACAATTTTTTGTAATGATGTTATTGGATAACGGCGCTACATTTTATAAAACTAATATACTGTTTTGTTGATTTAATCTAGATAAAAACTCTGTAACTTATTGAGTTCTACAGATGTCAACAAGAAAGATATGATAAAATTCGTAGAATAGAAATTGCTAACTTCACTCTTTATTTATTTTTCGAAAGTATTTATATTCTGGTAGTCTTTAATTTAAAAATGAATGAAGGGATTTGATTCGTCATGAAACGAAAATTTAGTTTTAGGTAAAGTTGAATACTTCAAATTATGAGATAAGTAATTATTTTTCTAATATTCCTTCTATTTACATTTTAATAGTAAGTAAATATCGTTCGATTTGTTTGACTCCTACATACCTCAACCCATGACCCTTGTGTAACTTTTGCGAATGAAATACTAGAAGAAATAGGCAGCCACGGTTCATCTTCAAAACTGATATAAGTTTGGTAGAAATATTACGAGTTGGAATGTTTAAACCAAATGGGTACCCAGCAAAATTTAATGGAAGTGATTCTACGCGGGCAATGATTTCACAGGTTCATTTGCTTGAGTTAACGAAACATGAAAGTAAAAATATTGACTATCTGAGTTTAAAAACGGTTTAAATAAAGCTCCCGCATATATATGTTTGTTAACCTATTTAAGTTTGAAGCACCATAAAGCCTTAACTTGCTGCGAATATTAATATTTTATGACAGAACTTTTGTAAAAATCGGTTTGGATTCATATTTAGTTTCACTTTACACCACTACCAATGTTATACATGTATACACAGCTGAATGTGCAGGTCGAGGGGCACATAATTCCGACCACTAACTACCCCAAAATCCTTGGGGTCTCATTCGATAGCATGTTCAAGACTTCCGCGCAAGCCACAGCTATCTGCGATAAACTGAAAAGTAGGAACAAGAGAACAAGGAACAAGACAAAATGCTTTTGTACGCTTGTAAACAATATAATAAGCTGTCACTGGAATAATAAAACGAGTGGCTTAGAAATGTAGATCTCAGTAGATCTCATACTGTATAGTGTTATATTATTTCAGCGGAAAATGTTAGTTATTTTCTTAAAAATTAGTTTATAAAAATCCCTTTAAACGAGATTGTAGGAAGTTCCCCCTCTTTCACTATTCTTTGAAATGTTGGGACTTAGATTCTATAGAATCCGAGTACTTAAGGTATATAGTGCTATATTACTTCCGTAGAAAGTGGTTCCCTTCATTAAAAGTTGGTTAAAAAACCAAGTCTAATATTCTACAAAATTAAGCGTTTAAGGATATATCAAAACTCTAAATCCTACCTAAATGACTGGAATTTATAATTACTAAAAATACATTTGGGATTAAAGCCCAGTTTATGCAAAAGTCTCATACAAAACCATATTTTAGAAAAATGACAAAATTATTTTTAATAAAATTAAAATCTTCTCGATTTCATTAATTCACAACTTTTAAGACTAAGGGAAAACTGCTCATTGACTTTTAAATCTAAACACTCAATAATATTATAGAACATTTAAATGTCTATGTATGTCTATGGTTGAAGAAACACTTTTAACTCATCTAATTTTAATTAAAGAATAATAAAAATATGAAAATATGAAAAATGAAAATATTTAAATTTTTTGCTGTTTGCATGAAAACCAAAACTCCAATATAAATATTGGCATCGTTGTGAATAGGAGCATTGTAAATTTTCCTGGATTTCTTGGTTTAAATGTCCCCACGACATATATGTGTTTGTACAAAATTCAATGTGTTTTTGTCAATGTTCAATGTTTTTATGTTAAAACCTAACCTTTCGCTCTAATTTACATTCAATTTTTTCTCATTTCCCCCTTCTGAATTTCGTTTACAGAAATGTGCTGAAAAGTCGCGAGCCCGTCTATCAGGCCATCTGGGCAGATACCACAGATTTCGATGAAGTTCTAATATCGCCCGTAATGCTGCAGGATCACATGCCGGACAAGATTTTGGCTGCCCTCAAGAAGGTAATTGCCGAGGCGACTGACGATACATCGTCGGCGAGTAGTAATGTCAATTTGACTGCCCCCCGTCCGCCCCATTTTGTTACACAACATGTTTGATGAGACTATGCCTAAAAGTATGCAATGACATTGAGAACATGAATACCTCTCACGCTTATTACCCTGCTGTTATACCCTACACTTGGTTTATTTTTTGTAATGAAGCAAATCTCTTTTGTGTTAAATTATTTTGTTTTTATTTTGTTGTATTTATAATTATTGCTATTATTGTTTTTATTATTATTATTATTTGTAATATTTTGTAGTTTTTTATACTTTTTGTACATTATTGTTTATCTATTAAGATTGTCCATTAAGACATAGAGAGATGATGTTAGATTTTGTATATATGTATTAAGTTTACACCTCCTTTTTTCATGAAATAAATATTTATTTATTATTTTAGCAATTTTGGTTTTTTGCTTTATTTTTGGTTTATTATTTATGCACATTTTTGAAATATAATCTACACAGGGTTCCTTTAAGCACGTGTTCTCAAAGTATTCAATATCAAAATCGAAGAAAATTTTCGAAATATTTTGTTATTAACGATGCGACAAAGTGAAACGCCATAATTTTATATATTTTTTTCAATTTTATTGAATGAAAGCAAAAAATGTCGGAAATAGCATCAAATTTTAGAATAAGTTTAGTTTTGTTCGAATTGGTCACCTTCGGCACGAATTGTGAACTTCAAACGGCCAATGAAACCGCCACGCGCTGCCCGAATGTTGCTCTGCGATATTTTGGACCATTCCCATTCCCTTGCTTGAGGTGATCGACGAGAATATCTTCTTAGCAAAAATTTAAAAACTCATTCGTTGAACCTGGACCTGTTCAAACTGAACCGAATTCTTACTTTTTTAGGCTGACCCTTGTCCATAACATATCGAATACAATGAGGATTAAATTATATTTCTTTCCATTGTAGGTGGTAACAACCAGTGGTCCACGAAAACCTCATCGACAGGCATCGAATGCCTTCTCAATGGCATCGAATGATCTGCAGCGTAGCAACCAGGATGTCTACAGTTGTTACAACATTTCAAATGCCGATATTCATCAGCAGCAAGCCGACGGCATGTCACAAACATCACATCATACGGCCGATACCCGATCGAATACAAGGACAAATCAAACCGAGGCCCAAATGCATGCAACCCTCACAACGGTACAGCAACTACAACTTCTGCAGCAGCAGCAACAACTGCAGCTGCAACAACAACAAAGAGTATGTTTAGAAACATCATTTACCAATCTCCATAGTCCCGTGATGATCCACAAACATGCGCATTTTAGTGAAAGTGTAAGCTCCAGTAAGGCCTCCTCGTTGGCGGGCAGTGTCCTCAGTCGTAGCCAGTTAAGCAGTATCCAATGCGATATATCTTCCGTGGCTGAGAATAGCATAGCAACGGTGGCAATGGCGGCGTCACGCCGAAGCCCCATGGTATCCATTCACAGTAGTGAAGCCCACTCACATCGGCTGGAACAACAGCAGAATGGCTCTAGAACAAAGCAGGTTGCATTTGAAGATTTGTCGCCACCTGAGACGGCTGCCATTACAACGGTTACCGGCAATTTACAACGCCATTCCTCGGAGAAGGGTCCAAACAGCGCCAGCAAACCAAAATCTTTGGTAATACCTCCTTTGCGCAGAGCCTCAGTGAACGATACGGATGATGCCAACAAACAAAAGGCCGACAATTGGGGTGTTGCCCCCTTGGCAAGTCCCGAGACCCTCTCAGAAATATCCAGCATATCGTCACGCAACAGCCTGGGCACAAGCCTCGATCGTCAGCTGCACGAGGGAACGGCTGCGAGCGACTTGTCGAAAAATGGTTGTGACAACAACGGGGGCATGTCCATGTCACCCGAGGAAGATATTTACGAATCACAATTACACACTCCCAAGGTGATGCGCAGAGCACCGAAATTCACCGAAAATCTGTCGACATGTGCCGAGGACAAACGTAATTTGGACCAATACAAACGAATGGGCCGGGTATTTATTAGCCATCCGCTATTCCACCATCAGCCAAGTCAGAACTCCAGCGACGATGATGACGACAGCTTTGAATCGGCCAATAGCTATAAAAATAAACCTCAGCAAAATGGCGGAACCATTCGAATAGAAGTCGAGCCTAACTGCCAGCCTCAATGTAAATCCGAATCGGAAAGGGAAAAAGAGTTGCACATAACAACAATGACTGATGTCTCAATAAAACAGTTAACAGCCAGTGGTGATAGCATTCTCTACGATCAGGACGATGAAGAATCGTGCCAGAAAAATACAATAAATATTATGTCCTCATTGGACACCGGAGACTATTATAGTGCGAACTCATCCATTGAAAGAGTGTCGTCGGCAAATCACAACAACGACGACGACCACTACGACAACAATGAGGTGGAGGTGGACGAAGAAGACCTCAGAGTGTCTGCCAACACAACGGAAAACTATCAGCAGAATCACACCCAACGAAGTGTAACGATTATTCCTCCAGGTGTCTTAGAGTCACACTTTCCCCTGCACTACGACGCATTTACATCCACAGCCACAATTGCCACAACGGAACCATACACGACCATCACCACCACAACGTATACTCCTCCTCCTCCCCACATGGCAAACAACGATGAAGATCAGCAACCGCAACCGCTACCACAACCACTACCACAAACACAGACTGTAACAGTACAAAGCCCTAGCAAAATGTCGATATTATCAAGTCCATCATTGCTTGGACGCAAACGAAACAAATATTGTATATATCCCTCCGGACTCACGACGCCATCGTGTATTGTTGGTGGTGGGGGTGATGTCAGTGTCAGACGACCACAATACAATACTGCCACCACCACCGCCACCGCAACTACAGGATCCAATTTACCTGAAATTCTAGTAACAAATGGTACGACCAGAAGACAGCCTAGTAGTAAAATGTTAAACGAAAGTACGGTATAATCTAACTACACCGAAAACGTTCTATTCACAAAGATCCTATGAAGATAATAATAATAATTTCGAATTGATAATATGTTATGTTTAACGATCGGTTATCCGTCCGACTATATAATGATAGCAAATTTTTCATTCGGCCTGAGGTGTTTCCATTTAATTTATCTGCCAGCCGATGATGAGACCCATAGTAGAGTTTGATGACAACTTAAAAACAAAATGGCCCCTTTGTCGACTAGCATAAGGGTTAACATTGATTATAAGACAATATATACATATAATCTAAGGACTCAATAAATCTTTATCCGAAAGTTTCCAAAAATGGGAAAGAGACTCTTCTCTTTCAGCTCTACTTCAATTATCTGCACAGTTTTCCGGTAATTATTTTTTGCCACTCATAAGGATTTCAAATAATTTTTTTTTTCCAAGAACTGAGTGACAAATCTCACTAAAAGGCTCCTATCGGGATCCACTGTGCCAAATTTACCTTGGCATGACGTTCCTCGTTGCAAGCCGAGAACCACCCCATATCTTGAAGGACATATTCTGTTACCTTTACAAGATTTTGTCGAATGCAATTATCTCTTTCTCTTTGCTAAGTCATTTTATCCACATTGCGCTTTGAAGTGTTAGTGGCATACTTTCGTTAGGTACTCGACTCCCGGCGAATCCAGCAGTTTCAGCATTACAATTGATTCCGTCTGGGCCCAACGCTTTGGATGATTTAGCGTTCCGGACGACATTTGCAACATCACCCATCGTAAACAGTGGTTGTTCCTGCTCGGCGGGAAGAGATCTGACACGACGTGGTCCTCTTCACTTCGCCCTGTCGCTCTCGGGGTACTCAACAAATTGTCGATTGAAATACTCTTCGGATCAATAGCGTTGCTTCGTCAGAAGTGACTTTGGTCCTATCATCCTTTTTTTCAGGGTTCGAGAGCGACTTTACCGTTACCCACAGCTTATTCATATCAGTTTCAATGTTGCAACACTTCAGATGGTCTAGCCACTTTTTCCGCTTATGTTCCTTTACAAACCGGTTGATTTCCACTGTCAAATCACTGATGATGTTTCGGAAAATCCTTTCTGCTACCCGAACATCAGAAGGGTTGGGCAGTTCTCTGAAGCGATGGTTGGTGAATTCTCTGAACTCTAGACAGCGAGTTTTCCCATGGTTAAGGAAAGTGCGGCTTTCAGAGGCTTTGAAATCGGGCGACTTGGTTATGGAGATTATCGTCATTTCTCACGTCATTTATCAGACCGGGTGACACTATGGTTAAGTCTGGCGAAATGTGACACTCTCCATTTTTCGGGTGGGGGCATCCTCGTATATCGTGCAGAATGTGAGGCAGTCAATCTGCTCTACCAGCGCTGATCCCCTTTGGTCATTACCTAGGACAAAATGCCACAAATTATGGTGGGCATTAAATAACCTTGGCGGTTATTGTCTGCCAACAATGGGCTAATATTTGGCAAATAACGCGGTTCACAGCTATCAATCGGCTCATTAAGCACCTCTACCACACTTGACTACTACCTCCATACATTCCATACATGGGTCACTAGAGACTAGCTCAAGCGAAATAGGTATGTACTGAACAGAATGGTGTAACGGGAACGCTAATCCCCCATCTCCACTTCTGCCTAACCACAACAACACTATAGGCTGTAATTCTTATTCAGTTTGGTTTCTGGCACCGCTGCGTTCTTAATATTCCTCCGATTCATAAATTCCACTATCTCATGTATTTTGCCCCGAAGTTCCTTGCAATTGAATTGCAAGAACGGTGCACGATCAGGAGTTGGAACAGCAACATGTGGAATAATATGATGATGCTGTGTTGGTTGCTGTTCTGGAGACTGCAGTGGAGTTCCATACTCCGACGACGACTGTGATGAGGACGACGAAGACGTGGACTAGCTGGGGACTACGCTACTGCAGCATGTCGCAACATAATCATTTCATTGTAATCTCGCAAACGCCTTAGTCCGGAACAGTTCCTAGAATGCACCCATTCTCTACATCCACTACATCGCACCGAAACAGATTTGTGGTGGATGACGTACTGACAAACCGAGCAGAATCAAAGACCCAGGTTTTCCTCAATCCCGACACGGATCAATAAAATCCGGAGAAAGCATTCCGGGATATGCTGCTACAAATGCAGAAAAATAGACAAATTCAAACATGTACAACTGGGTTGGCAACCGCTGGCCGAAACTGGAATGTTGTTGTTTCGGGTTAATCCGATATCGTAGAAGCCACTGCCGTGGAATTGGATTCTGTTCAATAGTTTGTGGTGACGTATAGTGATTGGAGGAAGACACTTGGATTGTTGAGGCATCATTAGCTTTCTCTTTATAAGTTGGTTGAACTAGATACTGATGACATATTTCAGATTACAAAAATACGGCTATCTGAAATAAAAATCAATTGCAAGATAATACATATTTTGCAGTTGCAGTGTGAAACATTTCCGTTGGGATACATACAATATTCGGAAAATATCCAACAGTCGTGTAACTTCTACAATATTTTATTTTTTTGTGTCGTCGAAACATTTCCTAATGCAACATTTTCAACACGTCTCGACACATTTGTCATGGTATTTTCACTCCATATGGAATCGCCAAAAGCGTTTTCTTCAAAAACAACCAACTCCAAGTCAACGAATTCAACTACTGACCGTTAAACTTAACATTTGTTCAAATCAAATATTGAATCTAGGTTTTTTTCCACACTGTCCTATTCTAATCTGAAAACACTCTAGTCCTAATTGTAGTCTATAGCATAAACTAACTAGTTAAAATGTTTAGGACATTGTTTGTTATAAAAAAAGAAACAAAAAGAGAAAATGAAACAAAATACTGTAGTTGTCAATATTTTAACTCTACACCTACAAATCAACCAAACAACCAACCAACCGAACAGCAACCTATAAAACTTAAATGTATTGAGATTATTCTTATTATTATGACTATTATTATTATTACATTTAGCTAGTTATAGTTGTAAGCATACTGTGCGTATACGTTTAACAGTTGTGTGCAGTATGTATAGTTATACAATACCTACTACATACCTACCTAAACTAACTCAAAGAATGAAAAGAGAAAACACTAACAAACTATCAATGGAGGGAATCGAAGGCCAGAGGAAAGGTGTCATGTTTCGCAGTGAAACCTGACATTTCTCCATTGGCGTTTCGCACCACCCTCCCCCTAACACCTAACACGAAACCAATTAAAGTAACTAAATATTAGGAAAATATCATAAGTAGAAAATTTACAAAAACAACAAAAACAACATTACTTAGGAAATGTAGAAGTAACGAATTTGTTGAACAAGTGATAATGCCATCCGTTTTTTAACATAGTTGCGCGTAATAATTAATAAACACAGACATACACACATACTCATATTAAGAAATTAGAAAAAAAATAAAAGAAAGAAAACAAAGAATTCTCCCGTCCCGTGTCCATGTCCTTTTACCCAAAACATCCAAAAATGAAAAGTATTAAAAGATCTCATAAATTTCGATATTTTTGAAAGTGTACAGCAGTTGTGAATCGACAATTTTAAGAGTTAACAAATAATTCTTAATAACTTTATTTTGACTTGAGGTCAATTGAAACACCAGGGTTTATTTTTATATTTTGATTTTTATTTTCCAATATTTCAGTCTTCAGTCAGTCGAAATATTGGAAAATAAAAATCAAAGTTAGAAAAATAAAACACTTATGTTTCTACTGACCTCAAGCTAAAATGAAGTTATTAAGAATTCATATACAGGGTGAGATAAAAAAATTATAAAAATTTATTTTTTTAAGTTTTATTGAATGAAAGCAAAAAAATACGGAAATAGCATCAAATTTTAGAATAAGTTCAGATTTGTTCTAATTGGTCAGCTTTGACACGAATTATGGTCTTCAAACCGGCCAATGAAACCGTCACACGCTGCCCAAATGTTGCTCTGCGGTACTTTCGCCCATTCCCGGCGAAGGATTTGCTTGAGGTGATCGACATTTTGGTATTTTTAGTGCCAACCATGCATTCCAGAATACTCCAGACACAATAGCCCAACGGATTGGTATCCGGAGATTTTGGTGGCCATTGTGCGCTGAAAATGAAGCGAGGAACCTAATTTTTTACCAATTTTTGGGTGACGCGTGCTAAATCCTGTTGGAGTGTCCAAGGTCTGCGTCCAAAATGTTTGCGTGCCCAAGGCTTTAATACACCCTCCAGAATATTTTCTCGATAATATTCGACGTTTATTCTGATGCCACGGTCGATAAATACGAGTGGAGAGCCACCATCGCCTGTTATGGCGGCCCACACCCTCACCATAGCCGGCGCTTGAGTTCTGATGGCCAACCGAAAGTGCACATTTTCAGCTGACCTGGCTGGACAACGAATTTTTTCTCATCGGAGCGGAGAAAACCAAATTCGGCAGTTCACCACTTTCGGCCAAACGAAGTAATTCTTTAGCTCTTTTGAGTCTATTTTCTTTCTGTTGCGGTGTAAGTTATTGCACTTTTTGGAATTTCAATGGCTTTAACCCGAGCTCAAATGGAATATTGCGATATGTTCAGCTCACGAGTTCAGCTTACGGTAACGAGCGATGGTACGAGACTGAAAAGATTTATTCCCATTTAAATGCCGAAGTGCTGTAACGATAGCCACTTGTATTTTTCCAGTCAAATATAAAGAAATCACACTATCAATTGAATTCCATCACAAATAACTTTTTTTTTCTAGAAAATTCTCACCAAAATGCTTTTGTACGCTTGTAAACAATATAGTAAGCTGTCACTGGAATTATTTTAACAGCTGTCGGACGAGTGACTTAGAATTTGCAGCAGCCTGAAGTTGGTTGCAATTATTTCATCTCACCCTGAACAACAGGTCAACAATAAAAAACAATAACAGTTAACAAATAATATATTGAAATCAATGGACAAAAACCCGTCTCGATGATATATTAAAAAATTCTTATAATTGAAAAAACTGTTCCGAATCTCTGTAAGAATATTATCATTTAAACTTGTCCATCTCGGTGACTTAAGTCGGATACATCGATATTAGGATAAATATTTGAATGATTCTAAAACAAAGTCTGAAAACCCCAATATTTATTCTTTAAATTCATCTTTTTTTAAGTGAACTCTTTCAAAATGGCGTATGTGACCCTACCTTAAAATAGCATATGCTTGTAATAACACAATCGTAAAAATTCACAACTAATTTCCTCTTAGTTAATCATTTAATAGGCTCAGTTCCACAAATTAACTGAATTCTTAATAAAGTATTTTAGTATTCAGTATTTAGCAAAATTTTCCAATATTTTTTCTGGAGACATTGTGTCGATTTTCTTCTTTGTCGAAACGAAATGAGAACAAATTTAAATATTTTACATAAATTGATGACTGTGATGTGAATGGATCTCCTCATATAGATTTTAAAATGCAAATGTATATATACAGAACAAACAATACAACAAATAACACTTATACATTAACACACGAGTACATGTGAATACCAACCAAAAAAAAAAAAAAAACATGTTCAAAATCAATAAAAAAAAAGATCAATTTTATTTTTTTACGTTCCTTTTTTTCTCAGTTTTCCTTTGTGTTTTTTATACAAAACATAAAACTACAAAACATATGCAGAATAAATGCGCAATGCAATTATTAAAAAAATAAATAAATTAAGAACTTTTACAAAAGTAACAGTTTTGTAATAATTTTCAAATAAAAATCATACAAAAAATGGGAATAAAAAATAAATAAAAATGTAAACCAGTAAATGTTTTATATTTTCATCGTCTTGAAGGTTTGTACAGAGGTAAAAAAATAAATGCTATATTTTCATACATAAATCGTACTATTTCTTAATAGGGGTCATACCAAAATGTGATCCTATATTGATAAAATACCAACATTTGGTGAAATTAAATGGAAAATATGGCTACAACGTAAAAATAACTCGAAATGAAATAAAGCAAAAATTGGACAGACATGAACCATTTTTATACCCTCAGCCATATGGTTACAGGAGGTATACATCATTTGATACGGCCAAAACGTGCCTCATCGAAATAACGGCTTTAGACCCTCTCTATACCCTCTGATAAAACTTTGTTTTTATTCTTTAAATATATCCAAAGATTTATTGAAATTAAAAGTAATATTTTATGCTTCTTTACACAACGAAGTTCAACGAGAGAATGAATGCAAAAGAAAATAAAGAAGTTACAACAGCATTCATGTTGCTTAATGAGGGTTGCCATATATTTCCATCACTCCTCCTCAACATGAATGATGCTTTACATTTACACAAAGATATCATTTTAGATTCATTAAATCTATAAAATTACAATGTTTTTGTTTAGACAAATTTTTGGTGAATACATCAGCAACCATATTAGTCGAAGGACAATATTTTAATTTTATTTCATTTTTCTGGACTGAGTCTCGGATGTGATGAAACCTTATGTCTATGTGCTTTGAACGCTTGTGGTAAACTGGATTTTCAGCCAATTTTAGTGCCCCTTGATTGTCTATGTGTAGAGTTACGTATTTGTTATTCAATGCGCCTATTTCTTTTATAAGACGCTTTAAATATATCGCCTCTTTTGCTGCTTCGGATGACGCCACGTACTCAGCCTCTGTGCTACTAAGTGCGACTGACATCTGTTTTCTAGATTCCCATGATATGGGACATCCACCAATAAAAAATATAAATCCGGTATATGATTTACGGTCCACTCGGTTACCACCCCAGTCTGCATCCACGTAACCTTCTATGTTACTTCCATTAGGTTGATATATTATTTTCTTGTCGACCGATCCTGCCAAGTATCTCAGAATATGTTTAAGGCCAATCATATCAGTTTTTCGAGGGTCAGAATTTTTCTGAGCCAGTTTTGACACTGAATGCAAGATGTCAGGTCTCGTAGAAGTGGCTAAATATATCAGAGCTCCGACAAGGGATTGGTAAGCGGTTTGATCTACACGTTCGTCATTATCATTACAATTTACCTGATAACCGGGTTCCAAGGGTACTTGCAGTGATTTACAACCTTCCATGTCATATTGTTGTAATAGATCACGTATGTATTGGCTTTGCCCTAATTTTATCATACCCGTCTCACCTTCTCTTTCGATTTCCATACCCAGAAAGTGGCGTAATTGACCTTTATCACTGACATCGAACTCACTTGCCAATTCCTTTTTGATATCCAAAACAATCAATTTTTCTTTGCATCCTATAATAATATCGTCCACGTAAACGGCGATCAACACTTGTTTGTTTCTCCTCATGCCTTTATAAAGACAGGGTTCGTTATCGCATGGTTTAAAATTCATCTTACGCAATGTGTTATCTAATTTGGAATTCCATTCCCTTCCACTTTGTTTCAATCCATAAATAGCCTTATGGAGACGTAGAACCTTGGTTGGCGAAATATTTTCCTTAAAATTTTGTGGCTGTTGCATGTAGACTTCATCTTGGAGTTCACTGTTTAAATATGCATTACTGACATCGATTTGATGTAAAAACATTTTTTCTTTCGCAGCCAAAACCAATAAAATACGGATTGTTGAGTAGCGAGCAACAGGGGAAAACATCTTATGGAAATCAATTCCAAGACGTTGGTGACAGCCTTTGGCTACTAGGCGGGCTTTATACCTCTCTATTTCACCATTTACATTCCTTTTTATGGCATAGACCCACTTACATGGAATAGCTTTTTGTCCCCTTGGAAGATCCACCACCGACCAAGTTTTGTTCTTGCAAAGCGCATTATATTCATCTTCCATCGCCCTAAGCCATTTATCTTTATTACCATCAGATATTGCCTGTTCAAACGTATTAGGAATGTTTTCGTCGACAGCATGGCATATAACTTCATTACTGGACTCGCCATCATTTTCAGCTGTTTCAAACCCATCAGTGAAGCCTTCAAAATCACTCATATCATCCTCGGAATTATCATCATTTTCACTGTCAGGTCTAATCTGGATTTGTTGTAAATTATCACCTGTGATACGTCCATTGCCATCAGAATTACTTTGGTCTGACAGTAGATAATCAAAAAGTGTATCGGTCGGAGAAAATCCTTCAGGATAAGTAGACTCACTGCTTTTGCCAAAACAATTTTCGTCAAAAAGTACATCCCGACGTTCGATGACCTTATTTTTATCCACATCATACAGACGGTACGCTTTAGATGTTAAAGAGTAACCAACCATTATGTATCGTCTGCCTTTAGCATCAAATTTAGCTTTATTCTCAGACTTATCTAAGGCAACAGCACATGCCCCAAAGATCCTGAAATGTTGCACGTTGGGCTTTCTTCCACACCATTCTTCATAAGGAGTTTTGTTTTCCAGCTGCTTGGTAGGACACCTATTCCTAATATATACAGCCGTGTTCAGTGCCTCTGCCCACAAAGTTGGTTTCACATTAGCATACACCATCATCGATCTGGCCATTTCAACGAGGGTGCGGTTGGCCCTCTCAGCTACCCCGTTTTGTTGTGGTGTGTGGGGAACCGTCAACTGCCGTGTAATGCCTTCTTTCTCAAGATATAAATCGAAATTTGAGTTAATATACTCCCGCCCATTGTCCGAACGTAGTGATTTTATCTTACAGCCAGTCTGCTTCTCAACTTGAGCTTTAAATATCTTAAATTTTTCAAATACTTCCGATTTCGACCGCATAAAGTAAACAAATATTCTTCTGGACTTGTCGTCGATAAATGTTACAAAATATTTCGATCCTCCTACCGAAGTAGTTCTAAATGGACCGCACACGTCTGAATGAACAAGTTCCAACAATTCCTTCGAAATCGTCTGAGACTGGTTAGGGAATGGTAATACATGAACTTTACAGACCATACATGTGTCACAATTTGCCATAACATTTCCATTTATCCTCATGCCATTTACCATACATTTTCTTGACAAGTCATTCAGGCTCCTGAAATTTAGATGGCCATATCTATTGTGCCACACCATATTGTTGTTATGCATAGCGAACAATTTCTCACACGAGTTGCTGTTAAATACAAACATATTGTCTTTTCTTTCTGCTTGCAATACAATATCACCATCTGGTTTCTTAACTGATGCTCTCTTCCCATTGAAATTCACCGTCAAACCTCTGTCAACTGCTTTGTTAACAGATATGAAATTAGCTTGCAACTCAGGAGAGTATAAAACATTTTCAAGTCTAATTTCATTATCGTTGGTGTATATGTTCACGTCACCTTTACCAATGGCATTGATGTATTTGTCACCAGCGAGTGTAATTCTTTCATTGTGTACTTTGAAGTTTACAAACATTTCTCTTTTTCTACACATATGTGACGTCGCACCGCTGTCTACATACCAATTCTCGCTGTCTAACGCCGCTGTCTCTGCCACCGCTAACATCGTCATCGCCTGCGTTTTATTCTTTTCCTTTTCGCACTTATTCGCATAATGTCCCGTTAATCCACAGTTGAAACATTTTCCTTTGAAACCTTTTTTGCTACTTTGCTTCTTCTTGCCCGTTTTGGAGTTTGCAGGTTGTGCGACAAATGCCTTTTGATTGGTTGTCTCTTCCTCTTTCTCTTGTCTTCTCTTTCCCTCCTCGAGCAGTTTTTGTCTTAGGGATGACAAAGTGGGAAGATCATCGCGGGTTTCCATTGCGATCACAAAATTGTCGAATTCCTCGGGAAGGCTAGACATAAGCATTATGGTTAGAAGCTGCTCCTTAATCTCAATTCCGGTTTCATGCAATTTCTCGTATACTTCCGAGAACTCATTTAAATGTTGCACTACATTACCATTTGGCGTCATCTTCAAATTTAACAATCTTTTGTATAAGGAAACTTTTTGTATGGGACCTTTCGGCATATAGACCTCTTCCAGTTTTTTCCAAGCTTCATTTGAAGTTTTAGAATTCCGTATATAAGCCAACTGTGTTGGTTTAACTCCCAGGAAAATGGATGCTAGGGCCTTTTCGTCTTCGGCATCCCATTTGGCCTTTGCCGCTTCATCGCCTTCCTTCCTGATTGTTCCATTTACTATCTTCCAAAAACCAGCATGGATTACAACACTCCGCATCTGGATTGACCATAGGTCATAATTGTTCTCATCCAATTTATCTATTTGAAGAACGGGTGCACTCATTTTTCTCTCCTTTCCTTTTATCTTTTAACTTTCAATCAAATTGCGCAGTGTTGGGTGGACTGGGCCCATAACCTGATAAAACTTTGTTTTTATTCTTTAAATATATCCAAAGATTTATTGAAATTAAAAGTAATATTTTATGCTTCTTTACACAACGAAGTTCAACGAGAGAATGAATGCAAAAGAAAATAAAGAAGTTACAACAGCATTCATGTTGCTTAATGAGGGTTGCCATATATTTCCATCACCCTCTCTAGACATATGGCTGAGGGTATAATAATTTACTGCACAGAAAGAGAAAGGATAATACTAGTTTGCTTCAACTTTGCAAATCCTATGTCGGTGCACTCCATCAAGTACCTCCCCCACAAAGCGTCAACATTTTGAATAATTATATCTCTTATAAAATGTGACGTAACAACACGATTGTTCAAATTACATACATCACAGTATTTTCATTAACCCATGTCTGGCTTGAAAATGGGATAAATCGGTCCACTCTTTCTGGTTCCTCCCCACAAGATGTCAAAATGTTGAATATCCATGAAGCTCACAAAACGCGAAATTGACTTCAGACTCCACTCTGACTCTGATCTCAATATTTCTATGAACACAATATCTGTCATAAAGATCGGACTATTCCTTCCGGTACCTTTTCCATAAAGAGTCAAGTTTTGAATAATCAAACCAAAATAAGTATCCGGATGTTTTCATATTTCACACATAACAATATTTCTACTAACACAAGATCTGCTGTGAATATAAGATATATCGGTCCACCCCTTCTTGCACCTCCCCCACAAAGGATCAAAATTTTGAATAACATGAAACTCATAAAACACGAAATTAACACCCGATTCCATTCAGACTTGGCATATTTCAATATTTTCATCAACACAAGATCTGTTATAATGATGGTAGAGATCGGACCATTCCTTCTGGTACCTCCCCCACAAAGGGTCAGTATTTTGAATATTCATGAAGCTCATGAAACACGAATTAACCATCCGATTCCATTTAGACTTGGCACATCTCAATATTTCAATCAACACAATGTCTGACTTGGTGCATCCATCAACTCAAGATCTGTTATAAAGATGGTAGAGATCGGACCATTTCTTCTGGTACCTCCCCCACAAAGAGTTTAAGGTTTTAAAAACCAAAACGCCCTCTCTTCAAATTTCACACATGCAAACATTTTTGTGGTCTTCGTTATCCAAACCGAACTTAAGTTTATATTCATTATGCATGTCCACGCTCCATTCAATTCTATAAATTAAACAGGCTTTTTATTGCTTTAACTTCCTGGAAATCAATTACATTTTTTCTTGCTAGCTTTTCGTTAAAAATGGCAAATTACATGAATAAGCTTTTTCAATTTTAATAGGTAATCAGTTACATTAGCAATAAACAATATGTATATCGTATCATGTTTCAAGTCAAATAATATGCAGTCGATGCACTAAGAAATTTTCCATAGCAACTTATATGTTGAATTGAAAATATATTTCTGAACTGACTTTCACTAGATAATCTATACACAACAAATACAACATATATTTTCAAGGCCAATTTAGCTACGGTCACACCCGAGGGTAATTCAGGTCTTGGTTTTCTTTTGCTGCCAATTTGTTTCTTTTTTTTTAAGAAATCAACCAAAAAAGAATTACCCATTAATATATGATTTCCGTTGCATACGTAAATTTCTCAAAACAGAAATATTTTTAAAGCAAGCTGTTCATTTTTGCAGCTTAGCGATCTTTCCATGCACATTTAAGGATAATTTTGAAAAAATAAATACATTCAAGTTGACATATGATCAAACTGCTCAAAAATTCTAACTACCAAAGATATTATATTCCAAGATTTTGGTATCAGCTGCCATATATCCTCCAAACCACATCCACAATCCTTTGGATTTAAATAATAGTTTATTTCTATACAATGTCATCACACAATCGTTTCGATAGCCATTAATAGGTTAACTCTTATTCTTACGGCGATTTAAATAAAAATATCTAAATTGACTAAATCTTCAAAAAAGAAAGTTCAGCTATGTCTTAGTACTGTCCTTTTCTGTTTCCTTTTGATTAGTCGGACTTTTCTTAGATGAACCAAAAGTAGACTCGGGAGAAAATTTGAGGAACACCAGTGCCGTTGCTACCATAATCAAAAACAGTAATATTTCATTTTGGGTCATGAGTCGTCCATCTTTTTCCTGTTTCTTGGTACGATTATATTTTTCCTTGGCATTTTGGCGTCGTTGAAACGTATTGGCATAATGTATGCGAGACCATTCATCCAGATTGTAGATGGGCGAACGCCCGTCACTGTCGGCGACCGTGGATTTTGTAAAGCGTGATTTGTAGAATTTTGTCGATGGATCATCTTCTTCTTCCGGTTCTGCGCCTCTCATTGATTCCTCGGGTCGTTCGGTTGTTGTGTGTATTACACCTTGGAAATATTAAACAAATTTGTTGTCAGATATTTTCACATGAAAATGTTAGTAATGAAGCGAAAAGATACCTTTGTCGTATAGCCTCCGTAGTTTATAGTTGCCCAACACCTCGTAGGCTTGTGTTATCTCTCTGAATTTCAAAGCTGCCGAATCACTTCCTTGGTTCTTGTCTGGATGGTACAACATCGAGAGACGATAATAAGCAGCTTTGATTTCAGTTTGCGTTGCTTTCCGTGATATACCCAAGACATCGTAGTGATCTGCAAGCAGTGTGCTGCTGGTCGATATCTTCGCCCTTTGAAGAAGCCAACAATGCCTTGAGGAAGTGGACAACATGGTCCATTTAGTTATTTATTTGTTGTGTTGGGCTGGCTTCTCGTAGTTGTTTTGTTTGTTATATCATTTTCATTGCCAAGTTCAAAACAGAAATCAGCTGCTGTGACACGAGCCCCAGCTGATGGATGATAAACATTGGAGAGTTGGCATTTGTCGTAACAGGGTTACCATGGCAATAATTTAGAATATTTTGTAGACTTATAGACGCTCTGGAAAGGGGAATCAACGTTCCGTCGTGGGAGTTGCTTGTGAGGCGATTTTCATCGTTTGCAATGTGTCCCTGTTTCCAACAACTTAGGGCCATGTCGGAGAGACAAAACATATGTACTTTATATTGATATAACTCATAATTAATTTTGTTAGTCAGACATTCAATTATCAGCGCAAAAAACCGTTACAGAAATATTTAGACCCAACGCAATTCGCTCTTTTTTACTAGAATTTTATACCGCCTTTGTTCATTTGTGCCCCTTTTTATAACTTATCGAAGAACTCATGACTCAGACCCAAGATAATAAATATAATCTAAATAAGCGTAAAATTCTAAATTCTGAGGATTAGCGATGGCCGTGTGCCTGTCTTTTGTAATCACCTTATTTTTGGAACGAATTGAGCTAATCTTCGTATAGCCTCTATACAGGGTGAGATAAAAAACTCCAACAAAGTCAAACGCCATAACTTTTAATTTTTTTAAATATTATTGGATGAAGGCAAAAATGTCAGAAATAGCATCAAATTTTACAATAAGTTTAGATTTGTTGAAATTGGTCACCTTTGCCATGAATTATGGAATTCAAACGGACAATGAAACCGTCACACGCTGCTCGAATGTTGCTCTGCGGTCTCGGCGAAGCGCTTGCTTGAGGTGATCGACACTTTGCTATTTTTTAGTGCCAACCTTGTTTTCCAAAATACTCCAGACACAATAGTCCAACGGTTTGGTATCCGGAGATTTTTGTGGCCATTGTGCGCTGGAAATGAAGCGAGCAACTGCATTTTGTAACCATTCTTAGGTGGCGCGTGCTGAGTGCGATGGTGCTGAGTTGTCCAAGGTCTGCGGCCAAAATGTTTGCGTGCCCAAGGCTTTAATACACCCTCCAGATAATTTTTGCGATAATATTCCGTATTTATTCTGATGCCACGGTAGATTTATACGAGCGGAGAGCGACTATCGGCTGTTATGGCGGCCCACACCATCACCATGGCCGGCGCTTGAGTTCTGGTGGCCAAACGAAGGTGCACATTTTCAGCTGGCTTCTTTGGCAAGTAAACACGATCATTTTGTTTGTTTACAAACTTCAGGACAACAAATGTTTTCTCATCGGAGAAAACCAAATTCGGCAATTCAACGCTTTCGGCCAAGCGAAGCAACTCTTTAGTTCTTTTGAGTCAATTTTCTTTCCGTTGCGGTGTAAGTTCTTGCACTTTTTGAAATTTCAATGGAATATTGCGAGCCATCCAGCTCACTAGCCATTTTTCGGCCACTGCGACGTGGGTTTCGATCAAGTCGGTTCTTTACTTCTCGAACCATTTCTGCTGATGTTGCTGTTTTCTTCCTTCCACTTCCTTGACATCGGCCTACGCTACCAGTTTCACGGTAACGAGCGATGGTACGGGACACAAAAGATTTATTCACATTTAAATGCTGAAGTGCTCTAACGATAGCCACTTGTCGTTTTCCAGCCAAATACAACGAAATCACACTATCACGCTTGCATTTCATCACAAATAACTTTTTTTCTGGAAGATTCTCACCAAAATGCTTTTGTACGGTTGTAAACCATATATTTCACTGGAATAATTTTAACAGCTGTCTCCCAATAGTCGGTATTTTTATTGTATTAGAGATATTATAGATCGGAATTGTTTCCAATTTCGTATTTAAAGTTCATAACGGGTACTACTGGCTCTGACAAAAAAAAAATCGTATGCAGACCCACTTCTTCGTATAGCCACCATATAACAATTCCTTCTGCTATTCGGTATATTGATGATATTAGCGATATTATTCAAAGAAATGGGTTTCAGAATGAGCGATAGTTTCAAAATGTTGTGAAGGTTGTGCTCTGGATAAATCGAACCTTGGTCGGGAGTCCCTGATAATTATAATTCTATTTGTAAACCCAACTGCTGTTGAATAGACACATATTTGTGGTTGATGAGGTTCTACTTTCACATTCTGATAAACTTAAATCATGGCAGAAGAATCCAGGTAGATGCATCAACGCTTGGGAGCATTGATATGTCAAAAAAAATTATATGTTTTTTTCAAATATAAGTAGATTTTTATATGTTTTTTTATACTACGTCAGTCGGAGGCTATTATAATTCGCGTTTTTCAAAAATTTTTACATATTAAGACAATTTTTCATTAAACATTTTAAATTCCAAAAGTGGTTTGACAGTTCATTGGTCCAGCAGCTGTGTCGACGCCTCTACCTATATTCTTCTACCATGACTTAAATTTAATATATGCTAAACTTTTTATACCCCCTTCGTAATTTTATTGGCACAATAGAATCTCAGCTGATTAACACCTGCGATTCTCTGTCGCAAGTAAACAATTGTTGCATCTGACATAATAAAAAAATCGCGATTCGCTACCCAGAGGTATTGGGAACGTATTACAGACGAAATAAATAGAAGGGGGAAGTAATAATGGCTTTTAGAATACAAAAAACCGTTGCATTACTCTACGATTCAATTCTACAAAACACAAAACGCCTCTGTCATAAAACCGCCATAAATGCAAGGCAAGAGACCAAAACCGAATATGTCTTTGACGATGAAGTTCTGCTTTCCAAGGAAAATCAGCAGAGGTGTTTGGAAAAAATGAAAGCCTCAGCACCAATAGGTGTTCAATTAAAGGGAAATCAAAATGAAAAGTCCTTCGCCGCAGTACTGATAGCAATTTGTACCGACGAGAATGGGTAGGTTTAGCTAAAAAGTTTTCACCCATATTCCAAATGCAGACAAAGTCCAAAGCTTATTTTTCCCTTTTCTAATTTTCCAGGAGAAATCCTTCGATACTCTACACAAGAAGAGCGCGAACACTGAGAAGGCACATGCGACAAATATCCTTCCCCGGAGGTATACAAGATGAAAATGAAGACTTCATTACATGTGCCCTAAGAGAGACCGAAGAAGAAGTGGGTCTGTGTCGGAGTCGAGTGGAAATCTGGGGTACAGGAAGTTTAATGAAACCTCCCCATACTGCTGCCATAATGCCAGTAATTGGCTCTGTTAGGAATTTCAAGGAAAGTGAACTGAAATTAAATGTTGACGAAGTAGAAGAAGCCTTCACTGTGCCCATTAGTCGTTTGGCCCATCCCCAAACACTGCACTATACACAATTCAAGAGTGGCTACTCTGCGCCGGTGTTTATTGTTGACGATAAGAAAATCTGGGGCATAACAGGTTTTCTAACAAATGCCTTTCTCAATTGCTTCCTTCCACCAGAAATGAACTATTTGAAAAATCGCGTAAAATACATTAGACCTGTAAAAGTAAGTGGCGACAAGAAGTAATGAACAAATTGGAATTGCCATTCAAATTTAGCTAAATTGTTATATAAAGTTTTGTACAAAAAAAGTAGCAAAATATATTTGTTTTAATGTGTTCAATATATAGTACTACCTGACGATTTTTTAGAAGGCAATATGGCAAAAAGTAAAATTCAAGTTGTTACAATACATACATCTATACAATGAAAAAAGTTTAAAAAACCTCATTTCGAAAAATGATGTTTTAAATGTTGTAGATTTAAATGAATCGGATGTGTTTTCTTTTGTTGGGTTCGTGGGATGATATGCTATTTTAAGCTCTGTTCCAGATTCTGCAAAAGTCTACTATTTTTAAAATTATTCTCGATACCATAAAAGGGAAATCGGTTATCGCAGTAAAAATTTGTACTACATTCTTGCAGGTCTGGAACAGACCATTGAATGAAAGCCGTCGAATGAGCAGCTGTGGACATTGTATAACTGATGTATTCTCATATTTCTGATTTGGTTCTTCGACATTACACCAACAAAATTAAATTATTATCGATATTTCCGATGTTATGTAAGAAGGAGTACTTCAAAGTGAAACGTTTTTATTGCATCAGTGGTTTTTTGACAGCATTTTATGTCTCGGTATAACCAAGTTTTGTTAGTCATACGAAATATATCAGATTCATGAAGAATGTATCCAAGACAAAAATATTTAAAACTTTTGAAATGTTACAGCCTTGCGAAAATAGCATTAAAGTTTCACATATGCAGAAATTCTTCTCTTAAGGTACTGAGATAGGTTCCATATCTGCATATTTCCAATTAATATTGAGATCCTAATACCTAGTTGAAACAAACGGAATGGAGTGCATCTGTCTATATATTCAGACCAATACATGTTGCAAGAAGCCGCTTGTGTCGGATTTTACAATGCGGCATTCTTTGCAATGACATTGGGAAAATAGAAAGCAGACTACCTGACAATGATATACCCTCCACCTTGAAAAGGAGGGTATTAACTTTGCCATTCCGTTTGTACGAATTCCGTCCGTCTATCAAATTATTATTTATGTTATTTGACAAAAATTGGGAGAACAATTTGTATTGTGTTTGGGATGATTAGAATTGAAAATGAGATATATATAGCTCCGGTGGCGAAACATTGTATGTATATGTCCAAGATTTTGTATAGCCCCCGTATAAAGGTACCTCCCAATATTTGATTTTGATGATTTTTGCCACATTTTCCCCACGGATTTGGTAAAATTGCTATTTATAGATCAAAATAGGTTGAATCTCCGGTGGCGAAACAGTGTATGTATAGCTCTACGTTTTGGTATAGCACCCAATATCAACGGTATTTTAATGATTTGTGCCACATTTTTCCACGGATTTGTCTAAAAATTGGTATTTGTAGTTCATAATGGGTTCTAGCTTCGATGGCAAAAAAATTATTTTTTTTTATTTTGATAATCCTAATCTCATTTACTCGCGAAACTTTAAAATTTGGTATTTGAGAAGATTTTGCAGATTAAAATTCTTGAAGTATAAAATTGTCTATAGAGGTTCCCGTTTTGATATGTCTCCCATACAACTGCCTCATCCACTTTATGGTTTTTTGATAAGTTTAATTTTATTATCCAAACGGTCTTACTGGTATATGCAGCTTAAGTGGAACGTGCTTGAATTCAGATACTTTTATATAAAAAGTTTTCTTTACCCAATGGTGGAAGGTATTAAAAGTTCGGCCTGGCTGAACTTAATGTTTTTTTACTAGTTTCCAATTCACTGGAGAATTGGTTTAAGTCTTCAAAGAAAAGACCAAGGCGATTTGGTATGACGAATCATTATGCAGGGTAACAAAACTAATTTGAGAGGATATTTGGAACCGATCTCCCCATGTTTGTCTCAATTCAATTATGTGGATAACTTCACGAAAGTTATCAAAGAAATACACGAGACATTGTTGACCTCCGTTTACTATCGTTTAATGGTGTAAACACAGTGATTACTTACGTATGCTGGACCCATACTTTCTTTTAGGTGGTAGTATTTACAATTTAAAAGGGACCGAGAACGAATGCTTAGTGGAATCCATGAGGTGAAATAAAAAAATTTATGAAACGATGTCCCTTTATAAAAAATGCCAATCTACTTGGCCATAAAAAGATCTTTTCCCTCACACTCTTTAAATAATTTGTTAATTGAAATAAATAAATGACAAAAACTTACCGAATAAAAATAACAAATTTATGCCACCGATTCCTTTTTCCTACTTTTTTTTCAAGTATTTCAATATTTTGCACATTTGCAGTCATTATTCGGACACAATGAAACATGATTCGAGGCAGGCAAAGCAATAGTTTTTTTAATCCATAACTTTCCGATTTCACAGACACTAATCATCACACATCGTAACACATTTTTGTTTTATTTTATATTTTTTAGCGGGAAAGCTCCAAATGTCAAGCCTTTCAGCTACAACAACAACGAATTAATACCACCGATTCCACAAAACTTTTTCACAAGTAATTTTGCACTTTTCCAGTCATTATTTCGACAAAATTTATCATGATTCTTATCACACTAATCATCACACACCGAAAAATGTTTTTCTTTTCAATATTTATTTTCTTTTCTTTTTAAGCGGGAAAGCTCCAACTTTACTGGCTTTTCAAATCCGTTGAAAACTAACAACTTGAGCAAACTCCAATGGCAATTTGCAGTATGCATTGCCGCCGTTAATATGGAAGCATTATGAGTTCGATGTCGATGAATTATTAAATTTACGTTTTTATACAGAGTTGCCATTACATTGAGAATGGATAAAGGTAAAGTAGATGCTGCTGGGTTGGCATGAGAATTTAAAAGAATTTTAATATTCGTATACGGGGAAATTAACGGAAAAGGAGCGCTTTTTTTGGAAAACAGGGGAATGAAGGAGAGTAATTACATTTTATGTGCGGCCTCTCTCTCCTGAAAACTTATGACTACTAGATGACTGCATTCTTTATTAACTTATGTATATTTAAAACAACAGCTTAATAAATCAAATACATCCGAGCACAGAATCAATCTGGTACATATCTCCAAAAATGTAACCGAAACTTTGGGATTTTCCAATTTTTGCGCAAATACTTGGTGAGATGAAAAAACCGCAACCAACTTCAGACTGCTGTCATTACCAAGTCACTTGTCCGACAGCTGTTACAATTATTCCAGTGACAGCTCATTATATGGTACAAAAACATTTTAGTGTGAATTTTCCGGAAAAAAATATTGATGGAATTCAAGCGTGATAGTGTGATTTCTTTATATTTGGCTGGAAAACCACAAGTGGCTATCGTTAGAGCACTCCAGCATTTAAATGTGAATAAATTTTTTGTGTCTCGTACCATCGCCCGTCAAGGAAGTGGACGGAAGAAAACAGCAGCAGCAGAAATGGTTCGAAAAGTTCGATCGCGTTGCAGTGGTCAAAAAATGGCTCGTGAACTGTACATATCGCAATATTCCATTCGGCAAATATTGAAAAATGAGCTCGGGGTAAAGCCATTGAAATTCCAAATAGTGCAAGAACTTACACCGCAACAGAAAGAAAATAGACTCAAAAGAACTAAAGAGTTGCTTGGCTTGGCCGAAAGTGGTGAACTGCCGAATTTGGTTTTCTCCGATGTAAACAAACAAAATGATCGTGTTTACTTTCCAAAGAGGTCAGCTGAAAATGTGCACCTTCGGTTTGCCACCAGAACTCAAGAACCGGCAATGGCGATGGTGTGGGCCGCCATAACTGCCGATGGTCGCTCTCCACTCGTATTAATCGACCGTGGCATCAGAATAAATGCCGTATATTATAGCGAAAATATTCTGGAGGGTGTATTAAAGCCTTGGACACACAAACATTTTGACCGCAGACCTTGGACATTGGACAGGACTCAGCACCATCGCACTCAACACGCGCCATCCAAGTATGGTTACAAAATGAGGTTTCTCGCTTCATTTCAAGCGCCAAAAAAGTCCTAAGTGTCGATCACCTCAAACAAGCGCTTCGCCGGGGATGGGCCAAAATACCGCAGAGCAACATTTAGGCAGCGTGTGACGGTTTCATTGGCCATTTGAAGGCCATAATTCTTGCCAAAGTTGACCAATTCGAACAAATCTAAACTTATTCTAAAATTTCATGCTATTTTTTGCTTTCATTCAATAAAATTAAAAAAATATGTAAAAATTATGGCGTTTGACTTTGTTGCAGTTTTTTTATCTCACCCTGTATATGAAGTGTTAATCCAAGCGTAATGAAACAATACCAATTATTTTATTAGTATCAAATATAAGAAATACTTTATTTTTGTTTGTTTTGAAATTGTATGTGTATATACAAAAAAATTATATGCAATTATATTTTTTTCTTTAAATAAATTTATATGAATTAAAAAAAATGTATATGTTAAAAAAACACACTTTTTGTTAGTACAAATGCGAATAGAATGGTCATTGTTATTTAAACTGTTTTAGATACTGTCAAGAGTCCATGTTTCAACTGCCAAATAGGAAAATGTAATTACATATTGAAACTTCATTCAAAATTTATAATCAGCTTATTTATCCATTTGGAAGATTCAGTGAGCTAAGGAGGAACATTATTAGATGTAATAAAAAAACACACTTCAACTTAATACATATTAACAAAAATATTGAAAAAAAAAAAAAACAAAATCAAGGTCGCTTTCTTTCAAAAAATTATTGATATGGACGATACATAGCGCCCGAAAACTAATATCTTGTTCAAAATTAAGATATTTTAAAAAATATATTTATTTATGTAATTGTGATAATCTTGTCAGTTTTGCACTATTCAAAAAGTGGGTGGAGGGGGGAGGATTTTGTAAAAATTAAACAAAATTTTAATTAAATTAAGCAAGAGCAAAAAAATAGAATAGAAATTAAAATAAAACAAATAATTATTAAGAATTTGTAGAATACTCGTAGTTGCAAGAGCAGCACGGCGGTGCGCACTGTTTGGATTGAATAGAGACAAGTAAGTGTGGTATACTACAAAATAACTTCTTATTCAGATATATCGATTGGAATGGATGTGGTGAAGGTGGGTGTTTCCAACTCTTCGTGCTTCTTCATTTTCAACATTTGTTGCAATTTGTAGTGATTGATGATATCCTGATCGGCCGGACACGATTGAGTGAAGGCATCCAATTGATACATATGGTACATGTATCGCCACAGAGCGGTGTAATGAGTCTGAAAAAAAGGTGAAAAGAAGGAAACAAATTTATCAACGAGTACATAATAATATGATTTTAAATATAGTTTTAACTAGTTTTATTGATATGTGTAGATATTGAATGTTGGAGATGAATGAAATAATATGGGTTTTTGGGCACCAAAGTAGACTTTTCCGCTTGTCTTTCAATTACATCCCATTAAGGTCATGGTCAAGAAAAAAATTAAATTCATAATAGTATCGATCGGTTTGAAAAGATTTTGATTTTCTTTGAGCGTGTTGTTTTTCAAAATATTGAAGAAATGGTCCGATATCTCTTATTTTCATAACAGCTCTTGTGTTGATGGAATTATTGAGATGTACCAAGAATGTAATCGGATGTTAATTTTGCGTTTTATGCGCTTCATGGATACTTAAAATGTTGAGCCTTTATGGGAGCGATACCACAAGAAGTGGACCGATATATCCCATATTCACACCAGACCTTGGGCTAATGAAAATATTGTGATGTGTGTAATTTGAAGAGAACCAGATACTTATATCGGATTTTATGATCGTTTTGGTTTTTCAATATTGTAACCCTTTGTGGGGGAGGTACAAGAAGGAATGGTCCGATCTCTACCATCTTTACATGAGATCTTGTGTTGATGGAAATATTGAGATGTGCCAAGTCTGAATGAAATCAGATGGCTATTTCGTGTTTCATGAGCTTCATGAATACTCAAAATGTTGACCCTTTGTGGGGGAGGTACCAGAAGGAGTGGACCGATATATCCCATCTTCACACTAGACCTGGGTTAAAAAAAATATTGAGGTATGTATAGTTTGAAGAGAAATATATGCTTATATCGGATTTTATGATCGTTTTCGTAATTTAAAATGAAAACCCTTTTTGGGCAAGGTACAAGAAGGAATGGTCCGATCTCTACCATCGTTATAACAGATCTTGTGTTAATGGTAATATTGAGATGTTCCAAGCCTGAATGGAATCGGATGTTACTTTCGTCTTTTATGAGCTTCATGAATATTCACAATTTTGGCCCTTTGTGGTGGGAGGAACCAGTAGGAGTGGACCGATATTGCCCACCTCCGAAATCGATCTAAGTTAGACAATAATATTACGATGTACCAACTTTGGACCATATCGGATACTCCCTTCGAGAGTTATCGTGCTAGATCGACTCCAAATGTTCTGAAACGGATTTGGTCCAAAGAGACCTAGGGTCTAAAACCGTTATTTCGACTAGACACGTTTTGACCTATCAAATGGTATATACCCTCTGTAGCCATATGGCTGAGGGTATAAAAACAACGATTAGCTGGATATAGGTTCTCCGACATTGTGTATTTTTTCATGGTCATAGACAGAGAAAGCAAACAAGTACGAAAACAATTTGCAGAATGTTGCTTCTTTTTTCCACTTGATGAGAAATTTCTGAGCTCAGCAATAAGTAATTAAAACAACCTATAATCTATACCGATCCTTCCAGGTACTCTACAAAAATATTTGAACAAAAAATGGAAATAAAATAACCATTTATATTCCTTAAATCGTTGGAAAATTTTAAATAATAATCCAGGAAAAGCATAACAAGTAGAGAAAGATGAAAATGTTTATAAGTGCGGTTGTAAAATTTAGAAGAATTTTAGTTTTATGCAATTCTTTGGCTCCTCTTCAATTAAGCTCTCGTCACTTGGGTAAAAAAGTTTTTGTCATAAAGTTATTTTTAAAATAACTTCTGGGGAGAATATCTCCGACAAAAAACAAGGGAACTGATGAGGATTGGTGGCTCTTTCCAAAATGTAGATATTCCCTACCTTACCCCCTGGTAAACATTACCATCGTTCTCCACAAATAAACAAACGTTGTTTGTATAAAAACAACAATAACAATCCCTTTATCCCTTTAGCCTGACCATTTTGCAACAACAAAATTTTATGGCATCCCGAACAAACAAGCCAACATTGTTCTACCAAAGTATTTGATGCCAAAGATGAAGTTGAACCATTAGATCAAGTAATTCCAGTCTATATACTTTTAGGCGAAAGTGCAAGGCCGTGGTAGCTGCACCACGGAGGAAGCCAATTTTACAACTTGACCTTGCCTTTTGCAAGTTTTTTTGGAAGTTGACATAGAAGCAAATCATTTATTCTCGAAATATGGAGAAGAGAATCTGTCTTTCATGACTCTATGTTCAGTTCAATGACCATGTTAACCTGTACTAGGGGTGAATATCTTTCCCACAAGAAATACTTAATTGCGAATACTTACGGGTATTTCAAAATCTACGAAATATTTTCCAGCCACTCGAATGTGTTGCAGACGTGGCATTAGTTCACAATCGAAACAGCACATGGTGTCGCCAGTTAGGAAACGTGTGTTGCGATTGGCCAGATGATCGTTGATCTTCTTCAAATGTGAAAGTAAGGCATTGTTTTTAGCTTCATCCTTCTTGACCAACATCAGCTTAAGTTTGACATACAGATTTTCAATGAGTGTGGCAACTTCCTTGTCCTGTAAAAATGGGAAAGTAATTCGTTTAGTTTTGAATAAAATTAAAAAATATGATCTGTGTAATATTTACCTGTACAAAAAGATTATATCCACCAGGGATACTTTTCATGATGTGCCTTTCGATTTTGTCATTCTCCAAAATGGCCAAACCGTTGTCAATTAGAATTGGCGGATGAGTTGCCTCGAAATTCGTGCGGAAATCTGGTGGTGGTTTTTGCATATCAACTGTGGTCACTTTTAGGCTGATTGTCTTCAATTCGGCCAACAAATACAGGTCCATAAAGTATTCCTGACAGAACAGACATGCTCCTTTGCGACGTCCGTCGATTGTGGAAGCCTAAAATGAATATTGGAAGCAAGTTAGAAAATATCAGTCGGGGCCAATTTAAAAATTTTTTAGATTTATTTTTTGAATGTTTCACCCTTTAAAGGAAATCATTGATACGTCAATTTTCGCAGTTGAAGTAAGTGTGGGTTAAAATCTGTGTTTAATTTATATGCAATATATTATTTTAGAAATTATCACCATTTTTGTGGTGAGATTATGAGAAAAAGATTTGCACTAGATCTTATATTAGTAGAAAAAGTAAGATGGATAGAAAGAATAAGTTTGAAGAATCGAACAATTATTTCAAAATTTTTGAAGATTGTAATTATTCTTCAAAATGTTTTATTTTTGGTGGGGAAGGTATCAGAAAGAGTGGACTTACATATTCCGTATTCACTCTAGACCAAGAGTTGGTAGAATTAAAATTAGCGAAACGTAATTTTTATACCCTCAGCCATATGGCTTAAGATAGAGCCAAAATGTGCCTCATCGTAATAACGGTTTTAAACCCTAGGTCTCTTGCGTCCAAATCCGTTTCAGAACATTTGGAGTCGATCTAGCGATGTCCGTCCGTCTGTCTGGCTGGTGCGCACAATAAATCTCCAAGGGCGAATCCGATTTAATCCAAACTTGGTACATCGTAATATTATCGTTTTAAACTTAGATCGAGTTCGGAGATGGACAATATCGGTCCACTCCTTCTGGTACCTCCCCCACAAAAGGTCAAACTATTCAAAGAAAATAATTTACTGCACAGAAAGAGAAAGGATAATCCGACTTGGCTCCAACTTTGCAAACCCTAATATTTGCATCAGTGCTAGGTCAGGTGCGAAAATGGACAATGCCGGTCCCCTCTATCAAGTACCTCCCCCACAAAGGGTAAAAGTTTTGAGTAACGAAAACGATCATAAAATCCGTAATAAGCACCCGGTTTTCAAATTACGAACACCAGAATATTTTTATTAAGTCAAGGTCTGGTGTGAAAATGGGATATATCGGTCTACTCTAAGGGTGGAGTACTCTAAGGTGAAGTAACCATGAAGCTCACAAAATGTCGGAAAACCGACAGATAATATTTTACTTGTTTTTATTGTTTTTTTTTTTTACAAAAGTTCTGGTGTTTCAAAATGTAGACTTTTTGTTTCGCTAAAATTGACATATGCCTACTTCCTAGGCTTTATATAAAATTTATATTTTTTCTGAAAATATTGTACTTTTGTGGGGTTGTCACGGAAGGAGTGGGCCAATTTGACTCATCTTCGAACTGGATTTAAGTTTGACAAAAATACTCTAGTATGCCAGGTTTGGACTGAATCGACTTTAAATGTGCTGAAACTGACTTTGTCATGGGTCTAAAATCTATCAAATATGTAGTCAAAAGACTTAAGGTATAATTAGAGTTATAAAATAGGGCGAACAAACCAGAAATTGTACAATGGGGTCAAACTGCACATATGAGTTCACCGATGCAAGCCATTACAAGAAGCCATGCCATGAGTTCCTCTTCTCAACTAAAAAATGGAATAATTGAATTACATTTCCTAAAAACTAGGTGACGGATCTATCAAGTTTTCGAAATGATATTATTGAAATACCAAAATTCAAACTGACTTCGACCCTTACCCAGAGTTAGAAACGGGAAAACAAAACAAAAAGCAAACAAAAATAGGAACTAATAGAAAAAATATTGTTGTACAACAATCGTTGCATAAGTACAACCATTTCAAATGCATACCATCGCTCTAATTATAAACATGATGATGGATGAGTAGTGGCTGAATGGGTGGGTGTGTGGGGGATCAGTCATTGTGGGCATTACTTATAGGTATGGTGGAGGTGGAAAATAACAAAAAATTCAATTATGCACGTGGCATTGGTTATGGGGATTCTAACGATGTACTGATAACTGTTTATTTCAAAACTGTCTCCATATGACCAACAGTGTCAAGGATCGAAATTAGAACTTAAAAAAAATAAATAAATAAATAAATAAAAATAACCCAAAACAAAATTCTATCCTGCAGTCTTTTGACTTTGAATGTCATCCAAACGTGCATATTGTAAAAATAAAAATATTGTAGTTTTTCTTTGCTTTAAATGAACTTCTCAAAAAAATGGCACATTCTTGATGACATCATCATCATCACCATTCATCCATCAGCATAATAACTGTTTGTTTTTTTCTTCGGTTCAATATTGTATTTCAAGTGCCAAGAAATTATTAATAAAGAAGTCAATGGACATATGTGTTGGTGTATGTGTGTTACGCCAGCCACTCCAATGCTGTGCTGGGTTTGAAGTGCGGCGTTGATAAACATTCCATAAAACTTTTCATTTCAATCTTGTTATATAGCTGCTTGCTATATCATCATATATGGGTTTACCTATTTCATATCCATAATTTTGCATTCATCTCATCTAAAAATGATCTTTTCATCAACAAACAAGCCAGCAAATATTGGTCACGTGATTTTGAATATTTATTTTTTGTCCGGTTCATCTCATTTCCTTATTTGTTTGTTTTGCCATTTCTATATTCTTAGTTCGTTGCTTGTTTTGTATCAATGAGAAAAAATATCTGTTGAGTTCGTTTACTTAGCACAACGGTCCCCCCATCGCCACTACCCTCCTTCCTTCCTCCGTCACAGTCACAGTCAATAGTCATCACCACTCGCATCACATTTTAATGATGTCATATGACATTAGCAAAGGGTTAGAAATTCTAAAATGTTTGCATGCCTCGTCTCTACCAACTGGCCATTACCAATACATTCAGCCGTACACACCACATGTGTAACACAATTGTTATTATTTTTTTTTTCAAGTTCTATCTTGAAAATATGGATGGATAAAAACTAATTAATTGAATTACTATCAGCAATGTTTCTGTTTTTTTTTTGTGATTTGCGTGGAAAATAGATTTGAAGAACTATTTGATGTATTACTACAGTGAGGCTCATCAAATTACGAAAAATCAAAAACTGAAAAATATAAAAGTAAACACATGAAAAGAACAATAACTTCTAAATTAATTATAAAGTAAGACATTTCAATCACCTTAGTTTTCAGGATTTCTTTGCTAAATAAAAAAATAAACACTAAACTTTCTTTATAGCTTAGACTTGTTGAAAACATTAAAAACAGATATGTTAGGAGATATGCCTCAAATGTTTCAATACTGCCTCTCTAAAGCCAGCGTTTTCAAAAGTAGTACAACTCAAGCATTTTATGGTGTACCTAACCTATAATAAGAATCCAATGCTCATATTCACAACGGGTTCAACTTCCGAGTTATGACTTCATAAAATGCATATATGCAAGACATATATTAGAAAACCGGTCAAACTGTGCTATTTGACTTCCTGCAATTGTCTGATGTTTTTTCAATTTGTTGATGGAATTTGTGTGTTCACAAAAAAAATTAAAAGACAAAAAGTAAAATAGTATCAGTCGGTTTTGCCGACAGATGTATAGCCCCAGCCTTGAGTTATGATTATTCAAATTGTTGACCCTTTATGGGGGAGGTTCCGAAGCAGTTGGCCAATATTGATCCTTTCATATCTGAATTAAGACTGATATAAATATTACAACCTGCTAGATTTGGACTATAACGACTACTTCCTATACTCTATATAGAAGATATGTGCGATTTTTTGGAATATGTGGAAATATGCGTGAGGTGCCAGATATGGTGGACCGAAGTATGCATACATTATAAATAAATATATTACATATTCATATCAGATTTCTGGTTAAAAGAGAAATATTCAGTTATGACAAGTTGTAAAGAATCGCCGATTTGTTTCGCAAGTTATGACATAAGATATAAGCATATAAGTAAGAAATTGTGACCTTTGGTGATTGAGGTACTAGAAGGGGTTGACAAAAAAATTATTCGTGATGGAATTCAAGCGTGATAGTGTGATTTCTTTATATTGGCTGGAAGACCACAAGTGGCTATCATTAAAGCACTCCAGCATTTAAATGTGAATAAATATTTTGTGTCTCGTATCATAGCTCGTTATCGTGATACTGGTAGCGTAGCTCGAAGTTAAGGAAGTGGACGGAAAACGGAAGACAACGACATCGACAGAAATGGCTCGAAAAGTAAATAAGCGACTTGATCGAAACCCGCGTCGCAGTGGCCGAAAAATGACTCTTGAGCTGAAGATATCGCAATATTCCATTCGGCAAATATTGAAAAATGAGCTCGGGGTAAAGCCATTGAAATTCCTAAAAGTGCAAGAACTTACACCGCAACGGAAAAAGAAGGCTCAAAAGAGCTAAAGAGTTGCTTCGCTTGGCCGAAAACGGTGAACTGCCGAATTTGGTTTGTCCAGCAGTTTAAAAACAAACAAAATGATATTGTTTACTTGCCAAAGAGGTCAGAACTCAAGCGCCGGCCATGTTGATGGTACATCATAATAAATGCCGAATATGCAAAATGAGGTTCCTCGCTTCATTTCCAGCTCACAACGGCCACCAAAATCTTCGGATACCAATCCGTTGGACTATTGTGTCTGTAGTATTTTGAAAAGCGAGGTTAGCACTAAAAAATACCAAAGTGTTGATCACCTCAAGCAAGCGCTTCGCCGGAAATGGGCCAAAATACCGCAAAACAACATTCGGGCAGCGTGTGAAGGCCATAATTCGTGCCAAAGGTGACCAATTCGAACAAATCTAAACTTATTTTAAAATTTGATGATATTTCCAATATTTTTTGCTTTCATTCAATAAAATTTAAAAAAATATAAAAAATATGGCGTTTGACTTTGTTGGAATTTTTTTTATCTCAACCTGTATACCCTCTCTAGCATATGGCTGAAGATATAAAATTGTATTTTGCATATTTTTAGACCGCTATTGCGGAATTTAATGTACTTTTGCGAAAACATATATTTAAAATCAGTTCTATGTTTGGAATTAAGAAATATTGATTTTTTGTCCTGAAATGTAAAAAGCTACTACTCCATAAGATCAAGAGAAGGCTATTTTTAAATAGAAAATAT